GGTGCATCAGTCTGTGCTGCTTTGCCTGTAAATTCCCCCAGTGATTTTAACTTTATATTTACACCCCATGAGAACCAGAATGCACGTTGTGGCCATGTTGTTCTGCATAATCTCCCTCTACTGCTCAGACAAGAAAAGCAGAAGTTCAGAGAAACTAAGTAGTTTACCCAAGAAAAGTGAGACATGGAACCTGGATTAAGCCAGGGCTGTCTGACCTTAAAGCTTATGCTTTAATAATATAGTAGGACTCTGCCCCTTATTTTGTTCCTCTATTATTCTTTTTATATCTCTCTTAGAATTCACTTCACAGGGTTAAAAGAACTTTGGAAATTGATTACTTGCAAACCCAGTAATTCAGCTCAAAGGCACATTTACCTATCAACATATTTATGTGCTTAAAAGTCAATCAGCTGGCATAACTCTGGGTTGAAACCCACAATTCTTTCCAGTTCTAACATTCAGTGCCTTCCTCCCCTTACCTACCCTCGCAGCTGATTCAAACGGACAAGAAGGGGAGTCAGTAGGTATTTTAGAAGCTCAAACATCAGCTCACCTGCTCTGTCCCACTGTCATCGCTGAACTCCACACCAGCACAGCGTTTTGTATTTCTTAGACCAAAAGCAAAATAAATTGCAAACTGCCTAATAACAGTGGTTGAATATTCTCACCTCTTTCGTGACCTGTAAACAAAAGAACAAATGGATTAGATTGTTGGTTGCAGGCTTCCAGGACTCCTTTGAGGATTTAAGCAAGTTGTCAACTGAAAAGTAAGTTACTTTTATTGTAAAGAGGAAAAGAAGCCTGCCTGGTTAATAACAGAAATTGGTTAACTACCAAAAGGATGAGAGTTGTTTTTAAACATCCACAGATTGTCAGTCAGAACAGGCAAGCTCATGGCTAGAGGTTAAACAACGAGAAACACATTTATTTTAATATCGATCATGGAAAACTCTATTAGTACCTCTGTAGGCCAACAGAAGGGATATCAGGTTATATAATTCTTCCTTTTCCAAAAGCTCTTGTTTTTTTAGCCAATCAGATATATTATTTGGCATCTTGTAAAATTTAGTAAGAGTATTTTTACTGTTTCTTCTTCCTTTCACCCCAATATCGGGGACAAGCAATGCCCTCCCCAGCTACTCTAGACTTTCTTCAACAACCCCTTTTCCTATCCTTAAAATTGTTCACCGTCTCATTCTCACATACTGCAGTGGAACAAGAGTCACACTGATATTCAAAGTAAGATTTAGAGGCTGATAGTGTTCTCCTTCCAGAACTTTTTGCAAATTTTGTGTCATGATGACTTTACTAATGAGTGTCATTAGTCTTATAGCCAGTTTAGTCTAAAGGTCGCCAGAGGAAATAGTGGGCACTGGTTACACACACCTGATCAAATTCCTCCCTATGTGCCAGATACTGTGTCTGTCCACAAACTTTTTCTCAAATTTCTTTCTAGAAATAAACAAAAAAATGTAGATTCTTAAAGTTTCAAACTGAAATTTAAGCAATACATTCTCTGACATTATGTCACCTGACAACAGACATTTGACCAAAGAATTCTACTATTGAATATTTACCAATTACTATCTTCTACATACTAGACACATTGTACATAGTTTATCCGATCCCAAGTATAGTATATATTGTTCTCATTTAATGGATAGGAAATATTGAACTTTTCTACATATAGTAAATGTTGTGGAACATATGTTTAGTTAAACATATGTGATCTTAAAGCCGTTACACTCTATTTGCCTTAATATGTTTCTAGGTGTGGGTGTGGGTGGAGGGATTGCAAACCTCAAACTTCTATCCAGGGAAACTCTGAATTAGAATTTAAGAATCAGAATTTAATTTGGGACAAACCATTCACAGGGTTCTAACAGAGAAGACTTTTGTATCTGACTGGATCACAAGTATCAAATACTCCAACAGGTAAGTATATCTATTGTCTCTAAACCAGGACCTTGGGGTTGCTAGCAAGGAAAGGGCTCTTGCTTCATACAGATTTAGATTGTTTTCTTCTAGGAAAAAATGCCTTTGAGAAGTAGTGGACAGTAATGCAAAATAGAGCTATATTCTCATAGGCATGAAGGTTAAAAATGAAAATCCAATTCAAATTCTCAAATTGGAAGCTCTGCGTTTACTCTCAACTGTGAGCTTATAGTCTCTTTCATGAGCAAGACCCTGGAGATTGAGCATCAATGAAATGTTAAGAATACTGATTGAGACCAGTTTGTCACAAGACTACAGGCCTATGACATAATATGTGAAAAAAGAGAAGGTCAAAGGGGTCACACCATTTCCTGTAGAGAAGTGGGTTTTTCCTGAGGAAATAATGAATTCAGGTTTGAAGAGGAACGCCACTAGTTGTACTGTAACTTTGGGTGAATTTGAAGAAGTCTCCCCTTCTCTGAGTAGAATCAATTCTGTGCCAAGGTACTGATTCCACATACAGAAGTGCAACCTATTAATCAAAATCCATCCCTATTTGTCTCCACTGCCAGGCAACTCTTGTGCAAAGCACAAACCCAAAGTCCTGAATACAAGATGTAGGCTTAAGTTGGAAGTCAGGAGAGCCAGGCTAGGAGTGGAAAGGATTTAATGGAGGAACATAAAATTTAAGAAGCCAAGAATAAAGAGAACATCCATGAAGTGTTCAACATATAGAGAAAAGTGTATGTGTATGTGTTGTCTATGTATGACAGAGGGAAAGAGAATGAAATAAGGTAGAACACGTGGAAGAATCAGAAATCAGAATTGCATTATACTTCTCAGCAGCAAACTGAAATATAGAAGACAGTTGAGCTACATCAGATCATCATATAGACCTGTATAATTCCTAACTATTTAGAAAGTAACCCAGTAAATTTCTCTGACAAGGTCAATGCTCTAAGATAAGAATCAACAATATTTTGTGTGTTAAGGGCGTAGATAGCCAAATATTTTAGGCTTTGCTGTCCATAAGGTCTTTGTTGCAACCACTCAACTCCACCTTTACAGAGTGAAATCTGTAGTCAATAATAAGAGTATGGGTATGTTGTGTTTCTATAAAGTTAAAAAAGCAAGTTGTAGGCCAGATTTAGTTTATTTTATTAAACCTCTATCAAAAAGATGAAAATCATAATGGGCTAATATAAAAATGCTTTATATCTGAGATCTGTGGCCTTATGGTAAATGAGAAAAAAAATTGGTAAGATTCAGATGAGTACAGACCACTATACTCTGAAAGTGCTAATCAGTATAGCCATGATTCCAATTGTCAACATCCATAAGTAACATGAACAGTATGTCGTGAGGTGCTAACTTATCTAGACAAAGCATAATTGAAATCATCACCCATTAAGACCAAGCAAGATCAAGATAAAATATGACATAAGGAGAACAGGCCTACAACAGGCCTCTGTCCTTCTTTATTGATAGTATTCTACATTTAAACATTTTAAGACTTTTTTCAAAGATTCAGTGGGTATTATGAAGGTTTGTTAAGGTCCAGGGTGACCAAACCTGAGGGTGTCAGGTTAGCACCGGGGCCTTATTTGGAGGACAGGTACCAGGAGTCCAGAACACATGGTGGCCCAGTTCAATAAGGTTTCCAAAGACTTGGAGGCATAATTAGACCTGAAAGAGTTGTCCCCTTTTGGTCTTGAGGATATTTTACTAAGACTTAGGACATTCAGAGAGAAATACAATACAGCATGTTCAAGATGCCAAAGACTTTTCAATCCAAATATAAGTGCTGCTGCATCAACACAAGAATATACCAATTCTGATGCACATATGTAAACTGCAAAATATGTAAACTGGCAAGGCACAGGATTTCATGTACACACATTTCCTGCTTTGGAAGGAAATGTGCAGGCAGCTGAAACTTTGGCTCTCTTCTAAGTGGTGACTAACTACTGCACTGATATACCTAGTTGTATCCCACTAGCATCAAGGAAGCGCCCTCTGTCATCGGGGTACTGAGACAAAATCCAAACAAAATGAATAAATAATCTTTCATTTGAAACCATCCACACAATGAAAAATATTTGGAGAATTATTATTACATGAAAGACTGGAGTTACAAAGTTTCTTTTCTATTCCTTATCATACTCAAGATGATCTTAAATTTAGGTGAATGGCTAGTGAGATCATGCCCAGGACAATAAGGCAGTGAACCTTGGTGGCATTTCTGGTACACAGTCACCAGAAATGTTGCCATTCAGATTTTGTGTTGAGTAGGAATATTGACTACAATTGTTCATGGGTATAGAATGGAAATGGAAAAGTAGAATATCTTAACAATTTATTCAGCTAAAATACATACTCCAAGGAGGCAAGGGAACAGGAGTTCAGGTGTGTCTATTCCACCCCATTCGCTCCCACACTCTCACCACCACTACCAATCCCTTACGTGCTCTGGTGCAGAAGGAAAATGAACCACCAGGGAGACCATGGCACAAAGTGCGGATGGTAAACACTGGTATCAGAAATGGCTCACAGTGAAGCTGCTCACTGTAGAGAACTGCAGGACCTAGAGAAGTGGCCTCCAAAGGACAACACAGGCAAAAATAATAGTACGACTTTCCTCTGCTTTTCTAGGAAGTTAGCAAAGGCTGACCTCGTGAGATCATAAGATAGTGGTGGGAAAAACTCCAGGCTCTTACTGAGACAAGGGAAAGGTACCATTCAGAATAGTTACACCTTATTTACTTATTGTTATACTTCAGAGGATTTTTCATACTCAGGCCTCTGGGTGTCATGTGTCAGTCAAAGCATCTTATTTGTTTTTCATAACATGATATTTTAATATATGTTATATATGAATAATCAGATTTATAATAATCAGAGAGATGCTTTTGTATGTCACCTTGAAGAGAGTAGACATCTCTCTCTGGTAAGAAGGCTTTTTGTGATGCACCCAAAATCAAACCAAAAAAGCCAGCCACCTAATCCACCAATGGATGAAGTAGCCCATATCTTCTTTCGTCCCAAAGGGAGGAATGATAACCAACCTGTTATGAAGCTGATGATTACTCCAGCAACAATGCATCCTAGGCAGCCCACTGCACTGTAGTAAAGGTAGGAGAGCGAGTACCAGGTGTCAGCTATCGCAGGTCTGTGGAGGACAACAGTATAAGTCACCAGTTGCAAGCATTCTGAAGTTATGATCCATAGTGACATAACTTCTCAGGGTTCATTTTAGGGCCCAGCATCCCTCAAAACCCCAAAGCTTGACTTCTTGCCATTTTCTTATTTAAGAAAAAAATCCATTATAGACTAGTTGTGCTTTATATTCCACTCAATCCAATTCATACTTGAATTATAAATATCAATATAATACTGAGTTATAATTATATATTACAAGGAGGACTATGTCTACCATTCCTTTTATATTATTCTTCAGATTGCATTAAACCCAGTTTAGTGTTAGTAATATGACAGACATTAGAAATATAAAAAAACATATATACAGATGAGAAAACCACAAATCTACCTATAGGAACTAACAGATGGTCATAAAATGGATTGGTAACACCTATTAGAATAGGAGCAAAAGATTATGGGAGCATTTAGAAAGAGTATCAAACCAAGGCTGATGTGTGAGATGACACCTCAGCTCATTTCTAGAAAACAATTAGTAGTTAATTGAGCAAAGAGGGTATTTAGGGCCAAGATTTGGCATTCCAAGGAAAGAGAATAGAATAAGTACATGCAGGAGGGAAGAAACAGCATGGGTGGAGTGGGAACTATAAATAAGTTGATTTGTTTGTCCATAAAATTTATGGAAAAAATGAAACTCAGAGGCAAATGAAAGTAGATAATGGAGTGCCTATTTGAAATATGAGTCAAAATATATTTTATGATGGACTGGGGGGCCTAATCTGGCTCTAGAAAGAGGAACAGATTTGGGAGAAGTAGAAATAAAGATTAAAAGACATTCCTATAAAAAGATAGCTTAACTAAAGACCTAAAGTGGGAAAGAGTAGGGTATGCATAAGGTAGAAGAGACAGAATTTAGAGTAGCAAGGGAAGGGTGGATAATAACATTGGAACCATAGAATAGCTTCCAGTTTTGTAAACTATTTAGTCCTAGGATAAAAAGTTTGTTCTTTATTCTGTAGACATATGAGTGATTGAAGTTATCTCTGTGTGGCAGTCACGAGTTCAGAGAGATGCTTCAGGAAAATAATCCTGTGAGTGCTTGGATAGAATCGATTGGATTAAAAGGAAGAGAAGAGAGAAGTGCAGGAATCAATAGACAAATAGGATATTTTCACTTTTCTTGGCTTCTTAAAGATGAAACCAGTCACAAGATTGGCAAGGGCAATGGAGAGGAGAGTCTATGCCAGGCCTAGAGAGAGCTTCATAAATGTTATATTGCCAAATTATCTGACAAGTGTTAGTAGAAGTCTGGACCCACAGGAAATAGCATATAGGGAGAGCATTGATATGAATCAGAAAAGGGCTACACCAAACTGGGGTACTTCTCTGAATACAAGAACCACAAATCCTATATTTCTAGACTTTTCCCTACATGCAATTAGAATGTGAGAATGGACAGTATTAAAGTCATCTATAGTACTAATGGCCATATATATATATATATATATATAAGCCATTAGTACTATAAATATATATAGTATTAGAATATATATTAGTACTATATATATAGTATAATGTATATAAATATACATTAGTACTATAAATATAATATATATGTATATATATATACATACACACATACATACATGTATCTTATCTCACTTAAGCCTCTCAAAAATCCACAATAGTAGGTACTAATACCCCTGATTTTCAGTCAAGGGCTTTGAGAATTCAAGAAGTGACAAGTTACTAACTTGTCCAAAGATAAAAGTGGTATAAATGATAAAATAAAAATCAAAACCCAGGTATTTCGGACTTAAAAAGCCATGATCTTCTCCCTACACCATAGTATCTGCTGTATTTTGATATCTTTGATCACTTACCCTAGCCAGAAATAGAAAAGGAAATCCTTTGTTAAACGCTGTGTCATATAGTTTGATTTAGAAGCCACAGGTCCATGGCAGTCCTCCTAACGTGGCTCCATAATCATTCCCTTCATTGCTCACAAACCTCTTCTACTCAGGTCCTTTATTCTTTTAAGGACACCAGAGTCCTCATACCCACCCACCTATTGTTCAACCCTCCACATTTTTTCTGTTTTGCACTTATACTGCCAATTAATTCTTTTTCCAAGTTCACTTTTTATGCCTGAATGCAGAGGAAGGGATATCTGCAGAAGGCTGGAGCCTGCATGGCACTCTTCCGTGCTGGGAACTGCCCAGGGCGATTCTCACAGGGAGAGCATGTTTTGTCTCTTCAGACTTTATCCCTAAAGAATGCACCTTTCTGGCCGGCGCGGTGGCTCACGCCTGTAATCCTAGCACTCTGGGTTGCCGAGGCAGGCGGATTGCTTTAGGTCAGGAGTGTCGAAACCAGCCTGAGCAAGAGCGAGACCCCGTCTCTACTATAAATAGAAAGAAATTAATTGGCCAACTAATTATATAGAAAAAATTAGCCGGCATGGTGGCGTGTGCCTGTAGTCCCAGCTACTCGGGAGGCTGAGGCAGGAGGGATCACTTGAGCCAGGAGTTTAAGGTTGCTGTGAGCTAGGCTGGCGCCATGGCACTCACTCTAACCAGGGCAACAAAGTGAGACTCTGTCTCAAAAAAAAAAAAAAAATGCACCTTTCTGGAGTCTAGTGACCCACTCTCTGGGACTTAGCGCCATACTTAAAGGCAGCATACCTGCTGAATAGCGCTGGAGATGCCGTTGCCGTCACATTGGATTGAGTACACTGGTCTGTTGATAAAGGCAAGGGCCATGTCTTAGCAGCTGGTGCAGGATAAATGAAGGCCCCGATGGCCACCCAAAATGACAAGGTGATTCCAGTGAGAAGACCTCCTAATGCACCCTTAGTGAGGAAAACAAAAAAAAGGTTAATGAGAGATTTGACAAAGCTGTCTGTTGAAAGAGTAACAAGATGAAGAATTCTATGCCTCAGAGATTCTGGCCGTCCAGCCTATATCTTGGCCACATGTGTTGGAAAAACCCCACTCAAATTGCCTTTATTTCAACTCCCATAATGCAGTTTAATTTAGGAGTAACTTGTTCCTTAAATGAAGACACCAGAGAATTTCATAGTGATCGTTATATTTAGATTTCTAGCAAGAATTTTTGTTCTCCTTTTGGTTTCTTCTTCTTACTACTTAAAAAGCTATTGAAACCTCAATTCTGTGTACAAGAGTTTCAGATTTAAGGAAAATTTCAGATAATGGAGGCAATGTCATCATTTTTTCATTGGCAGCTATGAAATACAGAAATTCCTACTCCCATCTCTCTTCCCAAGTCATTCTGGCAGAGTCCCCTGACTCCCAGGTTTTGGCATTCTTTGTTTGAGTGTAAATAATAGCAAGTGTATGTAGTAGTCCTGTAATTTAAGGGTTATATTTCTTGATAAACAATTAGTGAAACGAGTCATTTATCTTGTACTGGAGACAGAACAGTCTAGCAGAGACCAGGCAGGACCATTGGAAAATTACATCTGATGCTTCTGGTCTGCACTGGACAGCTGAGTCTTCTCAGTGAGAGAAAACAACTTGTTGGCTTCTCCATTTATTCAGGAAAAAAAAAAAGAGTCCTTGATAAGAGCAGCAGAATGCTTTCTCCTTTATTGTTTGGGAAAACAAAATCAATGTGTGTGATTTGAATACTTGTGCCTTGGTCTAAACCAGTGGTCTGCAAACTTCTATAAGAGCCAAATAATAAACATTTTAGGTTTTGTGAGCTATGCAGTGTCTGTCACAAACACTCAACTCTGCCCACCTGCCTTTTTTAGCACAAAAGCAATCATAGACAATACCTAAGCAAGAGAGGCTGGCTGTGTTCCAGTTATTTATGGGTACTGAAATTTGAATTTCATGTAATATTTGTGTCACAAAATATTCTTCTTCTTTTGAATTTTTTCCAACCATTTAAAAATGTCAATTCCATTTAGACATACCAAAAACAGGGGGAGGGCTAGATTTGGCTTAAGCATGTAGTTTGCTAATCCCTGGCCTACTAGTAAAGGGCAGATGGATTTCACCTGGGGGGTCAACCCTGTTGCTCCATACTAGCTTCCTGGAGAGCCACGCTGAAACAGATTCTGAGGTTGTATCCATATTCTATGTGAAGGAGAGCCATGATTAGCCATGGACAACGACAAAGGGAGAGGTGATGAAAAATTGTAATATTTACTGTCCTCTAGCTAGAGCAAGATGCCTTTCCTGATTAAATAGATGGACTGTAGTGTACTAACATAGATAACAAATTAATGTTTACAATGCACTAAGATCTTAGGTAGCTAGCTCACAGGTTTTTAAAACTTTTTGCATATTTAATTATGGGTACATAATAGTTGGCCATCTTTATAGGGTACATGTAATGTTTTGATACAGGCATATAATGTGCATTAATCAAATCAGGATAATTGGGGTGTCCATCACCTCAGGCATTTAACATTTCTTCATGTTAGAAAAATTCCAATGCTACTTTTTTAGTTGTTTTAAAGTATACCCTAATTTATCATAGTTTTTTTATAGCTAGAAAATTGTCTTCTCTCACATTATCCCTCTGAGGACATAAATATCTTTGTCAACCTCAATATCAGGAAAGTGATTAAGAGCACAGGAGAAGTGCTGCTAAAACTTAGATGCCCACTCCCCATCACTCTCTTTACCTAGCCCCTAAAGGTTTATCTAGAAGAGAGGTCAATAGAGTCAGGTAGCCACAGGGACCTAATCAGGTGATTCAGATTTAAGGATTACCCTATAGAGTATATATAAATAAGCATAGAGTTAAGTTTTCTAAAGTCTAAAGATTTTCTAAAAATGCATGCTTGTGAGTATAGGAATGAAAATTTTTCTGGATTGAGAAAATTATGATATTTAAAAAGTTTTAAAAGTATGATTATATTATTTTTCCAAATAAATGTTCATTTTGATTTATACTTACTACATAGTCATGCAACCAGTATATACTGGAATATATGCTATTAGCTTGCCAGCCCAGCAAAATGAAGAAAATCCAGCTGTCAGAATATCCCAGGCTCGTTCCTTCTCCCCTACATAAATTAGTTAATTAATTTAATAAAGTTATAATTTTCTGTAACTATATGTAGAAAAAAATGATATTTACATTTTTTAAATTTGAATTTTTTAAATGGTGTTTCAACCAAACTGTTCATGAATTCAGTATCTATTTTAAAGTTCATTTTGTGAGCCCTCGATTTAGAGAAGATTTAATTTAAACCTTAAAGAGTCAGCTTTGATGGCACAACATATGGTAGTTCATGACTACCTCTTCCTTTCTTTGCTTTCTGTTTCTAAAAAGACTTCACTGAAGTCAGAGATAGGAGGGCTCAGGTTCTGTTTAATTCTACTGTGGATTCTTCTCCTGGCAAAGACAAATAGCCTTTCTGAAGAAGAGTAAGAGGAGGGAGAGGAGGAAGAGGAGAGAGAAAATGGCTGTGCCCAGTGTCAGCTGGGAATGGTGAAGAGGGGTGTGGGATCCTTACCTTCCAGTTCACAAAAGGGAACAGGATTCCCAGGGAGAATAACCCCAGCATTGGTCCCCCGCACATGCCGTGGATGCTGAGGGCAGCCTGTGGGACAAAGCAGACCAGATGAGCCCCTACCTCCACTGCATCTGTGGCCTGCTGCCACCATCCCTCTCTTGGACCTGAGATGAAATTGAATCCTAGTCCTGACTGTACCATTTATTAATTATGTTCTTTCCATAGTCATTTCTCAATTCTGGGTTCAATGATAAGCATTGCATTAAAAAATATATGTATATACACCCGTACACACATACATAAATACATATGCCTGTGCGAGGGTCTGTATGTACGTGTATGTGTGTGTATACGTATGTATAGTGGAAACACAGGTAACTTGGATTTGGCTGGAGTTTCGAGCCAGAACTCATTGATTTGTTTATATTCTCTATCTTATCAAAAAGCTTTTTTATAATGTACCAAATAAATACATCTACAACTTATGTTTCATATCTTACTCAGCTGATCAGCTGTTCTAAGTTACTTTGAACAATTCTACCATTTGGATAGTAGTAATTGTCTGTTACCTAGTCCTTGCCATCTTACCCAGAACACCTCCAGGATAGTGAAGCATTAAGTTGGGACATTGTGGAGAGGCCATCAGACACTTCAAATCCCATGTTGTTCTCTCCCGTACTTATGGCTCTATGTTTTTTGGAAATTGAGGGAGCTTGATAAATACATTTCCATATCTCTCAGGCTCTAGGCTATTGTCAAGGGACTTTGATTAAACTAATTCTCTGCCAATATAAAAGCTTGTGCCATGTCCTTCTAACAGTACTGAAAGTACACACGCACTGACATGCATGCAAGCGAGCATGTGCACGTGTGTCCACACACATGTGCCCACACACATACCTGCACTCACTGCACGGGCTCACACACACACAAAACTACTTTCAATGGAGCCCTATCTAATGCCATCAATTCAACTACAGAGCTTTTCGATCAAGGGGCTGAGATCAGAACGCTCTAAGTATCTTACGTAAACCTCATGTTCGTCAGGCACCAGCTATGCGCCACCTGGTAAAGGAGAACCTACCCAGGCACTCAGGACAAATGACCTCATTTAACCCTCACCATTACCCTGTTTAATAGGTAACACTAACTGAATTTTATAGATGAAAAAACTGACAAAAAACACATTAAGGGTCTGTTTCCATTTAGAAAGTGGCAGAGGTGAGACATAAATCCAGGTTGTTCTGGCTCTAAAACCCACATTTTCTCTTCTAAAAGCAGTTTAAAAAAAAAAAAAAGTCAAGAGCACAGACCACCATAATGTCCTCCTCCTTTTGTTTAAAGGAGTAGAAGGTTTTGAAAGTCCATCATTAAAAGTCAGAATATTTGGATCATAATTATGGCCCTACCACATATAACTACGATTTGGTAAACTTTCTTTTATTAACTCACAATCCTTAAACTTTAGGTTTTTTTCCTCTTTAAAAAATAAAGGTATAGGATCAAGGAGCCTTTGAATACCTTCCATCTGTAATGTAGTTTCTTTTATTCAGAAAGATGGGCTGCAATGCATTGTTACGATTGGTATTCCAGGTTAATTTTAGAGAAGTCAATGCCTCAGACATATCCTTGACAAGATGGAGGTGGATAAGAGTAAAGTCTTCCTTTTCCCCCCAGCATTGATACTTAAATTAATATTCTAGGCAATTCCAAAAATCTTGGCTGATTGATAGCAATGATTCACAGTTGCTGGGATTGCTGAATTTGGAAGCTAATTTACTATTGATTGTATAGGAGAGTCAATAAGTTAGTAAAGGTGATTTTATCTCCCCCTATGGAGAAAAATAATTCACAATCTCTTACAAACTCATTAGCCAATATGCTTCAGAAGAAAAAGGACTTCACATGATCAAAAGGGGGGAAAAATCCAAGATTTTCTGGACTTAAAAATATATATTTGTGTAGCATATAAACCAAACTAATTTTAATTTTTACCTTTTTGTTGGCATTAAGCATGTTAAATTGGAGGAAGACTTAAAGCTCATCTACTTCAGCCTCCTTCCTCAATGCCCACCCACTAAGCCACTCCTGCAAGTAGAAGACAATAGCTTTGTGCTTTGGGGTTGTGGTTGCTAATGGAACTTGAGAAAGACAGTTTGCTGAGCGTTAGCCTTCTCATCTGTCAATCAGAGATTATCATATTTTCTTCCTGTTTTGTCTTTTTAAAAAAAATTTGGTGAGTATTCAATGTGGAATCCAAGAGAAAGCTCAGAATAATATCTGAGCACTTCAGAGTATACATGATATGGGCCCAAAACATTGACTACTACTGTTACTATCTTATTATTAGTGCTATTAATATTGCCTACCCTGTTAGTAAGCTCTGATTCCCGAGACATGCCATTTGATTATTGAGCTGTTTTGATACCTAGAAAGTTTTATCTTGAGATAAAAATGTGCCTGGAAGTCATTAACAGCTCTTAGCAGACTTAGCTGATTGTCGAGAAGGACCTTTCTCTAAGGGAGTTCTGCAAAATCACTAGTAAACAGGGGATCTTCGCAGCTGTATTTGATTGACCCCCACCCCTGTATCCCTTCCACCACCCATTCTGTTATGAATCTGGGGTCCCATATTTCAAATGAAACAGGTTTCTGTGCTCTAGGATTTCTCAGAGGCTTCAATATGCTCCTGTGTGCTGTGGATCTCTGAGAGTGGAATGCAGTGTGCAGCATGTTCCAAAGTCTTTTGACTTTAGAAACTTTCTTTCTTGGACCATGTCATGACATGAGGTTCTCCAGAACACACTTTGTAAAATCCTAAACTAAAACACTGAAAAGACCTTTGTTTAAGAGGCTTAAAGATGCACCATCCATAAACACACACGATGAGTTATGGAGTGGTTTGGGTGAACATGAAATTAAACCAGCTCTATCCCTCACACTGTGGGACTTGATTTCCTGTCTTCATCCCATGTGCAAAATATGAATAAAAACATTGTTCCATTAAATTCAAGATAGCAAAGCTGTTTGAAAAATAGGAGAATTAGTTGCCATTCTCTACCCATCAAAGTCAGATGTGTTCAGAGAAATGACTGGGCCATCCTAGAGACCAATACCTCTCCTAGGAAACAGAAGGTTCGGGTGTGCATTTCTCATCTATCAGCATCTGATAACCTGTGTGAACTGTGTGGCACACATCGTGACCAGTCAAGAAAGTGGGCCCAGCACACGCATCTGAAGTAGGACAAGCAGGTGAGTGCATCACTCAAAACCGTCTCCTCACTGCAAACATTGTTTTCCACCATCTTTGGTCCTTGCCTAATCTGGAGCCCCTCCCCCTCGTGCTTCAGTTGCAAAGGAGCTTGACATGCAAATATGTCAAGAAGAAAACAATTTGGTGATTCAAATTGTCACCAATTGGACATGATGAGACTTCCTTAATAGTAAATACTGATTATAATAAAGGAGAGAAATCAATGGGGGTGCAAGGCCTCAAAGACAACTTGGAAATATAAGTCCCATGAATGGGAAAATAAATCTAAAAAATGTACCTCAGGTCACTAAAGACAGATCTCACCAGCTTGCTAGTTCTTCTGTGTGCATGGGTAGATATCACAGTGCCTCGACACTGTAAGGGGATTGTCAAGCATCTGTGACAAAATAGTACATTCATAGCTTATTACAGAGTCCTCTGGGTTTCTAGTCCCACAACTTCTCTTATGTAGACAAGTGAATTATCATGTCACTTTACCCTTCCCAGGACTTGTTCTCTGAACCTTAAAATAGAAATAACAGAATCCGTGCAAGCAGTCGTCGGAGTAAGATGCACTGCTCTGTGAACTAGAAGACATTCTATAAACATCGGGGATTACTATTTATCCACTCATTCATTTCTTCATTTAAACCACATTTATTGAAATCCAATGCCACAGCAAGAAAATCTAAAGGATGTTCAAATTACACAAAGACACGAGGTAGACTGAGAGGGCTGAAGTAGACTCTGAAGATGCACTTATCTGATGCTGCTTTGTGAGTTGGGCAATTGGGAAGAGGAAAGGGTGGCTCAGGAGAGTTGGGTCATAAACATGGATCAGCCACTAACTGTTAGAACTTGAGGATATTTTTACTTTCTTCTGTAGTCAACTACAAAATGAAGGTGTTGAAAAAGATATCCTTAAGGTTCCTTCCAGTGCTGGTATTTTATGGAACTGGAAGTTGGACGTAGGGAGCAGTAAATAGCTAGAATATAGGTAGAGGTGGGTTTATATCCCAGTTCCACCACCTTTTAATTATGCAATGGTGAGAAAATTACTTAATAGTTTTTTCTTCTAGAAAATTAGCACATTAATTATACTACCTCTTAGAGAAGTGATGGGGATCAAATGAGGTAATACATTTAGTGCTGTACCTAGAGCATAGTAACAGTTACATAAATGTTAATTGTTATTGTTTTTACTATTATGATTATTACTATTATTTCAAGATCATAAATTCTCAGATCAGGATCTTAGCAGTGTTTCTAATTTTATCAGACTGTACTCTGTCACTGTCCTGTTACTGGTTTTAATAGTTTCCCCTTCTGAAAGTGACTTTGGTTGAACTTCTACATGTATGTTTAACTGGGACCTGGTATTAGCGAATGTCAGCATTAGGGCTTGGAGGATTAGGGAAGACATTAGAAAAGAGAGTGGGGGGGAAAGTTGCTTTGAAGTCAAATGCCTGTTTTCCTTCTTTCATTACCTGTACAACACCCCCCAAGAGGGATGCAGCCACAGCCATACAGGTACACAGCGCACCAAATAAGATACCTGAAAGACAGAAAATGTATGACCATAAATGTCCTTGTGGGATTCCTGACTTCGAGGGATCCCTTAAGCCCCTGCTCAGAACTGTCCCTGATGCAAGCCCTGTCCAAAGGGATCTCAGTTGAGGCATCCTTTCAGTCCAGCAGTCACTGGCCCCAAGAGGGGCATTTAGGAATCCTCTCTTCCAAGGACACGCTTTCTCTCGGATCAGGCAGAATGAACTTGAATCCAGCCTCAAGAGTTTTCTTTCTAGGATTCCAGAAGAAATCTGTCATGTGGAAGCAATATGAAAATGTTAAAAGGGTTCAGACTGATCCAGAATAAATTAGTGGGAACTAAATGTAGGTGAATCACTCACCAGCAATGAGCTGAAAGAGAAGGTACTATTCTCTCTGGGATTCAGATCATTTCTCATCTTTAGCATCTGTACATTCAATCTCACAGGCTTTGCAAATCTGGAAAGTTTTCCTGGTTTTTTCCTTTAGTGCTTGACTTCTACCATCCTTATGGCCCTCAGTTATCTTACATAATGGTTTATTTGTTTGTGTGTCTCCGTAAGAGCCTCCAGAGCGCTCTGCCCCTCTAGTATGGGCGCTCACCCGATCAATCAGAATGTACATTTCAGTCATCTTTTAAAAAAATTTCTTCTTAAAAGAAAGAAAAAAAAATCATTGTTTTTAAAAAATCTTTTTAAAGATTAAAATTGATTAAAGATTAAAATTAAGATTTGATTTAAAATCAAATCTTTTTTAAAAAATCATTGTTTTTTTTATACATCTTTGTTTAAAAATCACCTCAAAGTTCACTTAATGCCTATAATAACTCACAAACTAAAAAGACAGGGAGAGAAAGACAAAGAGTTGGAGAGAGAGTCGAGACAGAAACACAGCAACAGAAATGAAGAGAGAATGATTTTGTTCATTCTCTCTGAACATTCTCTGCCAGCTAAATACGCAGCCCAGGTCCCAATGTGACCATTAATTCAATTTTATTGAATATTGATCACAGGTTGGACACTTTTTTTTTTTTGAGACAGAGTCTCACTTTGTTGCTCAGGCTAGAGTGAGTGCCGTGGTGTCAGCCTAGCTCACAGCAACCTCAAACTCCTGGACTCAAGTGATCCTCCTGCCTCAGCCTCCCGAGTAGCTGGGACTACAGGCATGCGCCACCATGCCCAGCTAATTTTTTCTATATATATTAGTTGGTCAATTAATTTCTTTCTATTTATAGTAGAGATGGGGTCTTGCTCTTGCTCAGGCTGGTTTTGATCTCCTGACCTCGAGCAATCCTCCCTCCTCGGCCTCCCAGAGTGCTAAGATTACAGGCGTGAGCCACCACGCCCGGCCCACAGGTTGGACACTTTATCATATGCCAGTGCTATAAAATCAGAACTTAAGTCTTGTCCCCAAAGAATTCACATTTTAGGGAGGAACTACACAGAAATAAACTAATTTATTCAACAAGTATATATATAAATGTGTGTGTGTATGTGTATTTATACATGTGTATATTTTATATGCATATGTACATTTAAATTTGTACATATATGTATATATTGTATCTTTATATATGTATATATTTATGTATGTATATATACTCAAGAACAGTGAGTGACCAGCATACAGCAGGTACTATGTGTTTGTTGTTATTATTATATTTCAGATTTAATACATGATATTTATTGCAGAAACTCATTCTTAAAATGAAATCAGGCTAGCAACTTTTGATGCTATATTATCCAAATTCTCAGTAAGACATAGAAAAATAAACTCACAACTACACTAAAAACCCAAGTTTGAACAACAAGCACTTATTGAAATTCTAAAATTGTTCCCACTATCTTTAAACGTAATAGATTAGGCTGCAGGAAAAAAATGATTGCCCTGACTCTGTATTGCTCCATGAAAAAGGAGAGCCGTGCCTGCCTGAAGAAAAGAACAAAAGGCATATTTACTCTCTCCTGCTGACTGCCTTGCTGGGCAAACAGTTACCTGTTCACATGAGATTCTAGGCAGCCATCCCTTGATTTATGTGTTCTGCTTTTCTGTGCTGGCTAGAGAATTGATTCTAGTCTTCCTCTACTGAACCCTCAAAATCTTTATACTTCAGCAAGATTGCAATCAACAGCAACCTTCAAGGCTGGAAATTTAATGGAAATTGTTGAGGGTTCCATGGAGACCTGCAATGCACAACCCTACAAACAAAGCAGTAAAGATACAAGGAAGAGAAAGCTCCACAGTTGCTGCCAATGCTGAGGATTTTCCCAGAGCTACGTTAACTGAGAGGATCAGACAACAAAACACGGGCATAGGAGGAACTTCTACCTCAAACTGACATACCCATGAGTATCTGGTAGGAATTGGGAATTGTACTAGCAACACTGCCCATCCACTTGCTATTAGCTCTAACTCAGATAGTGAGTAGAATCAAGACAGTTCAATGATTCACTTCGCACACATGTGGTGGGCATCCATTTCTCCCTATTCATGCATAAATAAAACAAAACCCAAGAAATATGAAATCCATGACAAAATGTTGCCAAATAAAAGACTGACTATATTAACCTATAATCTCTAATAAATAGTATGCTTTCTAGAAATATTTCACCTCAAGAACCAGAAAATAAAAGTATTTAAAACTTGTTTGACAATCTTGATAGGATGCAAGAATGCATAGACTCAATGAAGCAAAGAAGTACACATCAAGAGAATGCAAATGAGATGGAAAAAAACAGCAAGATAGGATGCAACACCAATAAGTTTATATGAAAATGCATACAGGTGTGATAAGGAAGAACTACAAGGAAATAAAAAAAAACATGATAGTTGACCAAACAATTCCACTCCTAGTTATTTATCAAAAAGAAATGAAAGCATATCCACAAAAAGACTTGTAAAGGAGTATTCATAGCAGTTTTATTAGTAATAACCTAAAACAGAAACATCCCAGGTCCATCAATAGACAGATGTTAAATAAAACCTGTGGTATATCCATCTATGACATACTATTCAGCAATAAAAAGTAATGAACTATGGATACACAAAACATATATAAATCTCAAAAATATTATGCTATAAAAGGAGTCTTACAAAAAAAAGACTGCATACTATGTGTGTGATTCCATTTATATGAAATGCTAGCAGAGGTAATACTAATCTATGTTGGAAAAAATCAGAATAGTGGTTGCCTCTGGAGGAGAGTAGGAGCAGGGAATGACTAGAGGGGTCATGGGAGAACTTTGAGGGTGATGGTAATGATTTATATATTGATTAGTGATTGGGCTATGCAGATGTATTAATTTGTCAGCACTCAGAAAATTTATACTTAACATTTGTTCATTTCATTGTAGATAAAATTTTTTGACATTAAAAGTATACTTGAAACAAAGATTGAATTCTAGTTAACATTATACATGCTAAAATAATTAGAGGGAAGTATGCTGATGACTTCAATTTACTTTTAATTAGGTCAGAAATATAGTGGATTAATGAATGAATACTTGAACACTATAAAGCTATATTATAAAATAGGATGATATTAGTCCTGCAATTGATAATTTAAGAAAACATATTCTTAAAAGAACTTTATGTTATATATTATATAATGGAAATATTAAATATATATATTTAATGAAAGTATGAAAAATCAGTAAGGAATTTTGGACAAGTGATGTGGAAAATTGCCTATATAAGAAAAAAAATTTAGATCCTCATCTTAAATCATAAATCAAATAATTTAGATATATTGAATATTAAATATATATAAAAGTATTTAATAATCTAGAAGGAAACACAAGTAAATATATAAATGGGTTTTGAATGGAAGAAATTTTTAAGCATAAAGAAATGATGAAATAATAAAAGATACACACATTTGATCAAATGTAAATTAAAATTTCTATACATTAAGAATATATTTTACCAAATTAGCTCGGGAGACATTCTGCAATAGACAAAGGCCTCTTTTCCTTTATATATAAAGAGATTTTACAAACAATAAAATTTCTAATATCCCTAAAGCAAATATACAGATAGCATAAATAGGTTTTTCACCAAAAAAAGCAAATGGTTACTAACCTAATGAAAGATGTTCAAATACAGGATAAATCAAAAAATGTAAGTTAAAGCAAAAATGTGATGTTATTTTGCTCATTAATTTGAGCAATTATAAAAAAATACTAATATCAGGCATACAGAGAAGTAAGTCACCACTCCCTGCTGCTGTACATGATCATTGATTCAACCCTGCTGAAACTATATATCTTAATATATATATCAAGAAGTGTAAATGAATTTGTATCATGTGACCTTATAATTTTCTTTTCGAGATTCATACTAAAGAAAAAAATTGCAGATGCAGTCAAAGATTTATGTATGGTTTTTTATCACAGTGTTAAAAAATGAAAAAATAATTTTTAAAAATAGCAATAATATAAAATAAAGCAAATAAGCCATTTGCTAGGATATTGCGCAATCATTCAAATATCATGTTTTCAAAATATACATAAAAACACAAGAAAATGCTTACTATGGTATGTTAGGGAAAAACAACCAGGAAAAAAATTAGGTAGATATAATTTTATTTACAAAGCACATATATTTTTTCTAATTACCTACATTTTCTACAAGTAAGTAAGTATATCATTTTTTTACACTTAAAAATAAGTAAACGTTGTGAAACTCCAATTGGATAAGTGCTGCAGTGATTATAAACATAATATTCAATTCTATGGTTAGGCAAGGAATAGTTATTTGAGGTGAGGTTACTGGGAGGTTGGTAATAAGGGATGATTCTTTAGAAAAGAATTTGGCTTTTCTTAGACAAAATGACCATAGTGAGCAGAACATCTTTCCATATAGAGGGACGAATGTGATCATCATACAACATAATCAAGAAATGTTAATGTGATGAGCCTGGAGTGTAGGGCTAATACAGAAGAGTGTCTGAAAATAAGATCTGTATAAGATAAAAAACTAGCTGGTCATTCTTTTCTGGTACCCTGCTGATATCTTTGGAAGTGTAAGAATCTATATGTGAGATTCTTCATGCATCTCAATGTGCATCTCTGCCTGTAAGTGTGGCCTGAATAGCACATGCAGGATTTTGACATGTACCACATGTACATTTCATGTTACGGATTGGAAGGTCCACCAGCTATACCTACATAAGCCTTTACTGATCCAGGTGTTCAGCTTGTCGGAGAGATGGGGAAAACAGTTCTTGACAAAATCCTCAAAGGTCACTGTTGCTAAGGCGTTGATGCTGGCAGCCACGGTGCTACAGAGAGAGAGAAAAGTGAGAACCATGCTAAATGGTTCATGGACCATGCTAAATAAGGCTGTGTTACCAGTCCACCCTGTTGTTCAGGGCAGATAGACAAGGCAGGTCTCTAGGAAAAACAGATGCAGACATAGCTCCATATTCTGGGATTCATAGGAATGACATAGCCTGTTTACTCATCTTTCAAAGCTGCTTCTATGCTAATGCTCTTTCCATTCTTCCACAAACTATGGTGAAGAAGCTAGGCTTTCATGCTCTAACTCTCACTAATTCCCCTTAATAAGATGTTAAATGAGCTAAGAGGCAGTATCAGAGGGATTATATGTATGTGTGTGTTTAGATCGGGGTTGAGGCAGGAAGTGTTGACTATCTTAACCAGGAGTCAGTGCAGTTTGCCATTTAATAGTGATTAATTTATTCACACATCCATTTATTCATCCTGGAAACCAGGCATGCAATGGGGAACTAGAAAGATATAGATTGTGCACTCTAACTGGACACAAACATTTAACAACCAATTATACAACTGCTTACAATTGTGAAATTATTGTGAAGGAAAATAACATCATCATCATAATAATAATAATAAAATAATACCCTATGACAGCATGTCCTACAAAGATATAAACTGGTATGTAGTTAGGAGATTCTTCCCTTAGGAAGTGACAGCCAGGCACTGAAGGGATCCTTGCATCCTGGGATAAAGATATTCTTGGATGAAGGGAAAATTACATATAGGTGTCTCAAGGTATCTATATGTATAATGGCTCAAGATGAAAAGGAGCTATTACTTTTAATACCTGAAGCCACCCAGAGTTGCTGGAATGCAATGAGTAAGGGAGAAAGGAGCAAGAGATTAGACTGGGAAGTAGCCAAAGATCAAAACTGCATAAAAGCTTTGGTATTCTTTCTCTTCCTTTCCAATCAGAGTTCAATCTTACTGGGACTAAAACATGTTTAGTGAAAGTTGGGCACCTGAAAGTTGGGTTTTGGGGGACACAATAGCATTACAGCTCATTTAATTTCTCATGTAGACTAGGAATATTTTAGCTAGTGGAATAGATAGTATATGAAATTCAACTTATGCAAAATTATATTCATAAAGTTCTGAAATGGAAACAAGTAGATGAATAAAACATGGCCAGTGATTTGTAAGTTTTCTGTCAATATTCATTAAAAATTATTCTGTTATCCTCTAGTGCTCACTTGAAGACAAGCTACAGCTAGGCCTTCCAGAAATGATATACGTAGCCAGTAAAAACTCCCCAAGACCAATTTCTGGGAACTGAAACTTAGTGTTTTGGGGTACCATTCTCATTTTCTCATGATCAAAGCATGTTATGTGTTCCCTGCCAGACTCCCCTTCCATCTGCAGCTCTATAAAAGTCAAACAAGGTAAGAAGATAATCAGATAAAAGGAGCTTCCATACTCCCAACAACTTTGTCTCAAAATACATCTTGGGAAAATTTCAAACATTAAGGTTAATCCTTGAATCTCCTGTGAGAGAGTGAGCAGAAGGCTCAATTTGGCCCAGAAGGGCCAGGTTTGTAGAACCTCTGCTGGGTTGCTTTGGCAGTCAGGTGTATCCATATGTCAATTTCTCAGATTCGAAAGCTGCTTCGAGATGGTGGAAATCTTTTTGGTTTTTTTCCTATGCCTCAAGTACCATCTCCCCATTCTGTTCTCACTTCTGTCTTTCTCTTTTCCTATCCCACAGACTCCTTATGGTTGCAGCAGTAGTAATCTTTATTAATTTATGAAATTAATAACTGTGCTTAAAATACAATTTATCCGTTAGGCTGTAATAACATGTACTCTCTAGTGTGTCTCTTCCTTGGAATATTTGAATTTGGGATCAAGAGAATCAAACATTATTTTACTGGAGGATTACCCTATTAACAACTATATTTTTCCAGTCATAGGAATGCCTTAGAGTAAGAGGGGGAAAAAAAAAAAATAAAGCTATATAGAGAGTAAAAAAATAAAAATAGAGCATCATTCTCTACTTGTATTTGATCCTCTGGTATTCATTGTTTCTGCCCTTAGTTTCCTTCAGATTCTAATAGCAATAATACAGAACAATATCATTTGGTGTTATAGATCAAGTAAACTAATTAAAATTACACCATACATAAAGTAAAATCATTATATGAACTCAAGGATATTGCTATTTTGGAAATCTTTCAATGAATCAATATGCCAAAAGTTAAAAAAAATATAACATTTCAAAAATGCAAAATGTTATCAAATGTATCTCTCCGTAAACCTCTTTTCTAAAAGTAGCATAAATATTAATTTATGCATTTTTATTCTTTAATTTTTAAATAATTTTATTAATTTTATGTGAGTATTCTTAAATGTAAATAGTATATTTCAAATCAAAAGTGAATATATTAAATGGCAAAACCGAAGAACTACTTGCTTTAAAGTATATAATAAAACAAGGATTTCTGCTATCATCTCTATTATTTATCTTTATTCTAAGAGCACAATTATGTAAGAAAAAAAACCATAAGAAGAAAGAGAAAAAGTCAAGAGTATTTGCAGATATCATTCTCTGAGTGCAATCAGACCCCAGAGAATCAACTAAAACTAATAAAAAAAAGAACCCTAGATATGAGGAAAACTCTGTAAAAAAAAAGAGTGATTAATAGCTACCAGCTTAACAGATAAATTATATTTTAAAGCTCAGTCGTTAAAATTATTAGTTTTGGTTTCGCTATAGACAAATATAGATCAAAGGAATATAAAAGAATTCAGAAAAGGTTCTAAGTACATGGAGGAATATACGATGTAATAAAAGTCAGTGGTGAAAAGATGGCTTATTTACTAAAATAGGCACAACTTGGCTACTAATGTAGAGGAAGAAGAAAGCAGAAATTTCATTTAATTTTTTATGCTACATGCATAGCCTAGATGATTTAATAATTTTAATATTTAACAAGACCATAAATATTCTAAATGCTATCTGGAGATTATTTATAATCATAGAATGGACAAGTCTTTCTGAGAATTATGTTAACCTAGAAATTAGAATTTAAAAAATGATTAATATAGATTAAAGTTTCTATAAGCTCAAAAATATCATTAATAAACCAAATAGACAAAGAACAAATGAGAGAAAATGTTTTAGACATATATCAATAGGCTATTTTTTGTATATACAAAGAGGAAAACTCAAAAGAAAAAAATTAACAGAGAACATGAACTGGCATTTTTACAGAAAAATAAATACAAATGGTCAATAAAAGTAGGGAGTTAGGCAGTCCCACTTATGATCAAAAGAATTTATATTAAAATTGTTACTATATTTTACCTATCAGATTGGCAAGTTTAAAAGTTTGCTAGTACTCAATATTGGCAGTACAGTAGTGTGGAGAAAGAAGCAATCTACTGTTTTCAGTATATAAACTGGTACACATTTTTGAAGGTCAATTTAGCAATCTCTAAAACAATTTTAAATAAATATATATTTTGAAATAGTAATTTCACTGGTTGAAACATAGCCTACATACATCCTTGTATAGTTTGCAAAGATATACATTGTAGCATTGTTAGTAGCTCCCTTTATTAGAAGACCGGTCACGTAAATTATAGTTGATCAAAAGAAGATTAGATATAGTGATATGGAAAGATTGTTAAAATATATTATTAAATCAGTGAAACTATATATAACATTATCTCTCTTGAATACACTAAAAGGTATCCATGTTCACGTAAGCCCAGAAATTTTCTGGATCATTAACAAGAAATTATTAGCAGTGATTGACTCTGTAGGATGAGACAGGAGACTGTAGGAATAAGATACTATATTAACTTTTAACTTTTACCTTCCAGTACTGTTTGGTTTTGACTCTGATTATTTTACAGTCTTAAAATGGGACCTTTGACCTATCCTATCATTCGTTCCAACTGAGCTTCATGTAGGGGATTGAGGCTTTCCTCCCCAGGTAAGTCTCTGATTCATACAGCAGAGGGTCTTAAAGGAAAGTAACTATGCCATCTTAATATTTTATCTATTACTCTTATCGCTGTTGCCCCCCACCCCCTTCACTAAGTCACTATCATCTCTCACCCAGATTAAGGCAAAAGCCTCCAAATGAGTCACCTCCTTTCCCTTCTCTTACTTTTATTATAGTCCCTTCCTCACATAGAAGACCAACTCTTCCAATTGCATGCCATCTCTCACTCACTTGCTTCAAACCTGCTAATGTCTTCCCATTTCACTTGAAATCCAAACTTGGAACCATTTCCTGAAGTCTCTTTGTAATCCCTTCCCTGCCCAGCTCTTTAAACTCACCCTATGTGTTCTCCTCCCTGTGCCTTAGGCTCTAACTCTTCTCTCTGTTCCTCAAATACCCGGGACAGTTTGTCTCTCTGAGGCTTTGGTATTTGCTCTGCCTGTGCCCTCCACATAGCTGGCTTCTCTGCACTCTTTAGATCTCAACACAAACATCACATACTCAGGAAGGAGTCTCCTCAAGACCCTATCAGAATTAGAATCCTCAGGCCTCACCTCTGTCTGGACTATCACTCTGTTCTTTCTTTTATACTATTCATCATTGTCAGACAACATCTTGTGTAGTTTTTTTGACTTATGTATTGTCTGGATACTATGTCTGTTAGAAAGTAAACTCTGTGTGAGGGCAATGCTTATGTCAATCTTGTTCTCTGAAGTACTCACAATGTCACCGACTGTGCCTGGCATAATATAAGTTTTCTAAAATCAGAATAAATGTATGAAGGATTTTGTGTTTAGAACAGTATCTTTATTTGCGGAATTGAAGTTATTGCTTCAATGTACTATTGAGGATGAGATGAACGGAACGCAGATAATAGATCTGTGGAATATACGTGCATCGCTTAATGATGGGTACATCCTGAGAAATTCTTCATTAGGTGATTTCATGTTGTGTGAGCATCATAGAATGTACATGTACAAATGTACATCATAGAATGTACATGTACATGATATAACCTACTACACACCTAGGCCTTATGGTGTAGCCTATTGCTCCTAGGCTATGAGCCTGTACAGCATGCTACTGTACTGAATACGCTAGGCAATTGTAACACAATGGTAAGTATTTGTGCATCTAGAGAAGGTACAGTAAAATTAAGGTATTATAGTCTGATGGGACCACCATTGTATATGTGGTCAGTTGCTACCCAAAAGGTCATTATGCAGCGCATGGCTGTGTATGTACTGCAGCTGAATGAGAAGAGCCAGAAGACTGAGCTGCTTTATGTAAAGGTGATGTGAAATTGTGGGGGCTGTTAGCATAAGACAAGGTGAGATATTAAGCACAAAGATCTGGAATAGGGACAGACCCAGGCTTACATCCTGCCTCTGCAGTTTACTAACTCACCATGGGTAAGTTTTCTACCTTGCTAAACCTCTCAGTTTTCTTATCTGAAAACTGATGACAATATGAATAAGGTTCTAGTCTCATACGTTGTATGACAATCAATGAGCAAATACTAATAAAGCATTCAGCAGGGTAGTTGGCACACAGTAAGGGCTCAGTAAATACTGTTGATTACTGGCACCATCACCCTTATCATCACTGCCACCACCATCATCATCATCAGAGTGCTGTCAATATACTAACCTCAGAGTTCCGCTGAAGGCACAAGCCACAAAAAGTCCTGGCAGTCCTGGCATTGTGGCAAATATCTCCATGACAAAGTACGGCATTAGCTGAAGAGGAGCCAAAGGGAAACAAACAAAACAAAAAACAGAAAAGAAAAGCAAAAGAAGAGGGAACAGGATTAGTGGTCTTCTCAACAGTGTCCAAAATGCGAGAATGCAGCTTTTTAGCAAAAGGAGATGTGAAATTTATTTTCTTATGTTTTCAATGTATACCATTTTCCTGACTGTTTATCTTGAATGTTAACAACTAAACCCTAAAAACAAACCCCGAAAATGGGTCTTCAGGAAATCTTGGTGTTATGGTTCTATTCTGAAGCCAGGGAGAGGACCCTCTATATGACAGAGCAGGACAGTTAAATATATAAGGAAGGGGAATGATTGCTTCTCTAGAGCACTTTCTCCGTAAATGGAGTTTTCAAAACGATGTTTATTTACTGTAGTATCTTGGTGCGATACTTAAGCTATGATGAGAAGACATGATCAGAGGTGTTGAGGAAACAAGGGTCATTTTGTTCAGTTTAAAATTAAAACATCATTAATCAAGCTTGAGACCTGTAGAAAGAGTTCAAAGGCAGCATCAACAACCAAAGCCATGAGTTCAAGCCTACCTTCCACTCCCTCCAGCCTTGCCCTGGCTCAGACCTTGTCTCCAGGGACAAGGTGAGGTGTCCTCTTTTTAACATGCTCACTTCCACATATTAGAACCCGGTGTGTGGTGATATCACCCAAGAGGAGAGGAAAAACGCTAAGTCCTTGGGGTTTGGAAAACAGCTAGTGGTTCAGGCAGAAAAAGAGACAGGCTTAACATTTACCCAACAATGGCCAGAAGCACATTCATTCGGCTGGCCCCAAGAAAACCCATACCTGGTCTGGTGCTGAGATAACGCCAGAAGTCCAAGGGTCGCAGTCTTTGAATTGGGAGTACATGATTAAGCCAGAGAAGACGGCACACACCAGAATGATCCATAGACCCAACAAGTTGAAGTACAGGGCACTGGAAAAGAACACAGAGCCTGTTGGGAGACTGTATGACGTATTATGGAGTGTTGAGGTCATTACGAAAGACTCAAGGTAAAGGATTTGGGGCCTTTTTTGCTAGTAAAATAAAATTCTACAGCCTTCAAGAATCATTACATTTTATATTTTTGCTTTTTTTTTGCTTTGGGAACATTACTTTTTTAGACTAATTACCAAATTTAAATAAGGTAAGATTTTAAATGGATTTTCCTTTGAAATCGGGAGTTTTTTGCAAAGCTTCAATATGTATGGTAAGAGATGTAATTTCTTGGATGAAATTTGACATACCAATCACTCACATTATATAACTTCAAGTGATTTTTTTCCCCCTACTCAATTCATAAAGCTGTCAAAAAGCCAAATTACATTTTAACATCTTTTCTTCCAGAGTGGTAATGACATAATATAGAAATAGATACATTTTGGAAATAATCACTTTGGAGATTAATTCAGATAAAAAAGTTGATTTTTTTTTTAAAGACAATAGTATGTACAAAAAACTTAGGATAATCTTACTCATGTTAGGTGAAGCAATTCATTATGTTTGACAACACAGAGAGATGCATAATTCCGGTCTGGGTGCTTTTGTAGTATCCTATGGTTATTTTGTATTCATTATTGTCCTTTGAAAGGGGAAATCTTACTCCCTGGGACTTTTCTTAGTTCCTGGGAAGATTGAAAGTAGGCTGGCCTTACACTAGTCTAAGAGAATAAACAATCTCATTGTGGAGGGAGTCATAGGGTGCCAGGAGAGCGACATTGGACGCGGTCATTGTTGAACCTAGGCATTGTTTGAAGGGACTTACATGCATCTACATTCACATGTAAGGACATACATTCATTTCAAACTTCCCTAAAACCTATAGTGTACAGGTGTGTACCTGACTTTCAGAAGACTCTTAAATCAAAAGTTCTCATTTACAAAGCAAATATATTAGATAATTATCCCATTTAGAAGAGTTTTTAATTTTACATTTTAGAAAAAGTTTTTATCTCAAAGGTTACTTTTTTGGAGGTATTTTAACAATGTTTATCTTTGATTTGTATTTGTTTGGTTAGTTTTGTTTGGTGGGGGGTTGGGAATATAATTGCCACATAAAATGATCAATACCTATAATTGCATTTTTTGTACTCTTGCTCTCTGCCATTCAAGCATTTGCTCAGATCATAGCCTAGAGAGGAGTCCCTGGTCATTCCTTATCTGAAACAGTCACTCCCTGCTCTTTTATCAGTTTCTACTCCTTTTAATGATTTATATCACTGTAACATTTATCATAATCTGAAACACTATAGAATATTTATTCATTTATTATCTGTTCCCCTAGTTGAACAAATACAGAGCTGCATCCCCAGAGCACAGAATAGTTCTGGCACATAGCCGATAAAAAAATATTTTACTTATGATATGAAATGATTGAATGAATGCATGGTAGAAATTCAATATGATTGTACTCTTTACATGATTTCTTTTTTGAAAAGAGCACTGTACCTAGAGTCAGAAGACTTTATCCTTAACAACTGTGTGATCTCAGACAAGTCAGTTATGTCATGTGTAAAAAGAGTGTAACACACCTGCCTTACTTCTTCTTGTAAGACTAATATGAGGATTAAATGAGTTACAGTCTGTAAAAATAGATGGAGTTTACATAGCCATGTGGAGGACATTCATTCATGATCCAAAACAATTTTATAACTTTACCATTCAACTATGGGAAATGATAAACCCCATGGCAATAGAACACTTAAGTGACTGTACTTTGACTTGTTTCTCAGTAGAAATGGACTTTGATTCTATACGGGGCTAATTCTCCTATTTATAAAGTAGGCCTTTTCATTGACTCATTCAAAAAATACCTCTGTATCTTCGAGGTAGTGGGGTTGAAGAAGCAGACATAGAAGGGACCAACAAAAAACCCACCATCATGGAGATTAGATTCTGGGATTAGAGGCAGGTAATAGACGTTGAACTGAAATAAATAAATATGATAATTTTAGATATAAGAGATACGAGGAAAATAAGGCAATGGGAATGGAACCAAGGTGACTGGGCATGGATGTGCTCATTGTAACTGGGAGATGGGCTGTGATATCCTACATCCTCCTACCCTCATGACACCATTTACTCCCAGCAGTTCTACATCAGCAGTTCACAACCTTTTTGGCACCAGGCACCAGTTTCACGAAAGGCAATTTTTCTATGGACTGGGGGTAAAGGGATGGTTTCGGGATGATTCAAATACATTCTATTCATTGTGCACTTTATTTCTATTATTATTACATTGTAATATATAATGAAATAGTTATACAACTCACCATAAATGCAGAATCAGTGGGAGCCCTGAGCTTGTGTTTCTGCAACCACATGGTCCTATTTGGGGGTATTGGGAGACAGTGACACTCAAAGTGTGTTGTTTATGTCCAGTCTACTCTGTAATCGGGTTTTGGTTGCTGTCGCTGCAAAAAACTCTGCTTCACAAAGATAGGATGTTGGAAATGGAAGCAGGCTTTTCAGTGCTTTTGTGGCAATCTTAGGGTATTCCACCTTGACTTTAATCCAGAACGTATGGAGATTTGAAGTTGTCTCAAACATGCAGCATTTCTCTACAGATGCCACAGTGTGTAGACTCACATTCAGAAGCGACCTCTTTGACAGGAGTAGTGAAACCAGAAAGCCGTCCAGTCATGGCAGCAGCTCTATCTGTGCATATACATAGCAACACAAAATGACCAATTCAGTTTTCCTGATATGTGATCATTCAAAGACTTGAATAGTTCCGCAGTTGTGGTATTGATTGACAACAAAAGTGCACATTACATATCCTCATGCATATCATCCTGAAAAATATATTGCAGAAACAAACAGTGTTGCCTTGTTGTCAATATCTGTAAACTTGTTAATCTGGTTTGCATACCATGGTGATTCATTAATACTCTCTAACAATTGTGCCTCAATATCCTCTGCTGTTTCAGCTATTCGTCTAGTTATAGTGCTAGCAGAAAGAAGAACACGTGCCACCTTTTGAATTGCAGCCTCTTTGAAATGTTCATAGCAAATGTTGTTAGCGGCAGGCAGGATCATCTCTTCACCAATACTAAAGGGCATCTTAGCTTCAGCAATGTGGTTAGCCACCAAGAATGATGCTCTCAATGCAGATCTGATGAAGTGGTGGCCTTCAATAATTGCTGCTGTTCTTTGTGTTATGTCTGTTGTTTGTGCTTCAGTTTTTTTCTTTTGAAAAAGCTCCATATGCTCGTCTTTTAATGCAGGGTGCTTGGTCTCCATGTAGCGAAGCAGTTTCAAAGGTGTCATGGGTTCATTGGATAGCTGGTCATCACATATTTATACAAAGCGGGCTTGGAAAATGTGAATCACCTGTTGCATTGAACCCATAATTTAAGTAGGTCTCTTGGTATTTTCTTTTAATAGCAGCTTGCATTTTGTTGGCAGTCATAGAGTCTTCTGCTATCTCATCATTGGGTCTTTCACCCTTTTCAAAAAAGCTCTCCAGTGACGTTTGGTTTGTTTTTTACTCATTTTTGCTTAGGGTTAGTTTGTGGGCTTATCAAAACTGTGACAGAGACAAATTCGCAGTGCAGGAAAGAGGCATGGATAGAAGTGGTAAATAAAATAATGGGTGGCCACGTGGGGACTAAAATAAGTGTTGGATTCTGACTTAAAGCCTCCCACCAGATGCAGCTGTATAATTGAAGAACATCAATTCACTTGCCATTCTAAAGCCTGCCATGCAGCTTGTCACTTGTCACTCACTGATAGGGTTTTGATATGAGTCTGGAAGCATTGATTTATTATGGTCTCTGTGCAGTTGAACCTCTCTGCTAGTGATAATCTATAATTGCAGCTGCTCCCCAGCGCTAGCATCACCACCTCAGCTCCACCTCGGATCACCAGTTATTAGATTTACATAAGGAGCATGCAACCTCAAATGCGCGGTTTACAGTAGGGCTCATGCTCCTGTGAAAAATCTAATGTCACTGCTGATCTGACAGGAGACCTAGTGGAGGCAGTGATGCAAGTGATGGGGAGTGGCTGTAAATAGGGATGAAGCTTAGCTTTCGGGCCCACCGCTGACCTCCTGCTGTGCAGCCAGGTTCCTAACAGGCCATAGACAGGTACCCGTCCACAGCCTGGGGGTTGGCGACCATAGTCCTAAAAGATAAACTGAGGTCTAGAAACAGAATGAGTCTGCTTCCAGGAATCACATTTAAGTGACTTGACAAGGGATATTATTCCTAGGTGCAAGGAAGATCTGATTTAAGATTAAGTTGTCTTTGGTGAGTAATCAGCATTTCTGGGCATATAATTAAATGTATATAAGAATTACTACTGATTTTAACTCATGGCCACATTCAGTAGGAACTATATGAATGTATTTTTACATACCTATTTTGCAGGATGTATTTTCCTTAAGTACCAGAGATTTTCCCAAGCCCTGCTGGAATGTTTTAATTACATTAGACTCTCAGATAACGAGCAAAAGAAGACTATTTAATCAGCATCTGTAGAGCCTCCTAGGTGAGAGTCCATGGGCAGCTGGCTCGGAGTGGCCTCTAGCTAGCCCAGCAGTGCCCTTGAGTCTCCAGCTGTGTGACAAATGAGACCCTTCACCACGTTCCTCCACGGCAATCTCCCCTCCAGTGCAGTGCGCGTCAACTGTACTGAGCAGCTCGACTGATCACTCGCCTGATTATATTAACCCAATCACCTTGGATTCTCAGGGGAGTCTCCCCTCCCCTCCCCTCCCCTCCTCTCCCGTCCCCCCCTGCTCTTCTCTCCTCTCCTTTTTCCTTTCTTTTCCTTTACTTTTTCTAAAGCCCTTTTAAAAGAATGAAACAGGGAAGTCTTTTCTAAAGAGAGTTTTCTTTTTCATCTTTCCTTATTTTCCCAAGATTACTATCACAGTTCTGATCCTTTCATGGAAGTGGGGATGTGGGGAAACAGGAGTGGCAGTCCTACACACTTAGGAAATTACATAGATTTCTTTGTGCATGACTATCTGTCTTTTTCTGCCAGTGTTGACACCTATTAACTACTTATAGAACAAATTTCAAATTCCAAGCAACTATGTGAATGGGATTGTATGGATTTTGGTTGAATTAAACTGGCCTGCTATATGAGGCTTTGAGATACATACACAGGAATATGTGTGTATGTGTGTGAATGTGTATATACACACATACATACACTTCTACATATGTGTATACATCCCTGTGTGTATACATACACACAAGTATGACCTTCTTGAAGCATTACTTTATTTAATAAGTGACACACATTTAATAAGCTCAAAGCATTGTGCTTGTCCTGATATGGAAAAATGATGAAAAAGATACATTTTCTAACTTTTAGGTACTAAAGTAGTAATAGGGAGAAATTAGGCATATTCACAAAAGAAAATAATATAACATCTAAAATTTTTATAAAACTAGACTTAACAGAGGATTATTATTTATTTCACCAAAAGATTCTTCTCTTCACAGGTACGGTCAACTCTAGTTTATTTCAAAGCAGAATTTTAAATGAATTTTAAAGTCTAAGTCTACCTGCATTTTCAATAATACAGCTAGTTGATAAAGAGATGATTATGTGTGTGGGAGGTTTGTTATAATATCATTTATTGTAATAAGATTTGAATGATTCTAGAGAATTGATGGAGTTACCAGGTAATGCTTTCATTTCTTTATTCTGAGAGGTATGACATATATAAGTAGTAACATTACAGTTCTTCTTTTGGAATTCAACTTACAAAATGGTTGAATCATTTCCAGGCCATCTTATGGTTTATTCAGTGAACATAAGAAACTGTGCATTGAAAGTATTTTAAAATCTTTTGGGGGAATATTCATAGTGACTGTTTCTCTAAGAAAGGTTTAGGGCTCCCTGAGTAGGCCAGGAGGCTGAAACCTCAGGAAGCAGCGCTGTGGATGAAATGCCACTTTGGATGCAATTCTGGCTTGTTTCTGCCAGTTTGGTGAGAGAATATATAACTGCCATTGGTCCCATTGTGGAGCACAGGCTGGCTTTCAGAGCTTGCAAAAGGCTTGGCACTCACGCCTCTGCTCCTGGCCTTCAGAGCAAGCAGGCCTGGTAAGAGCTGGAGCAGCTAAAGCCCCTTTATGGCTTGCCACGCCATCCCGGGTTTCCTTCCTTTTTTAACCTCTCCTTGGAAGCTTTAAGGGTACAAACATCTGTTAAAGTACACTAAAATAGAGAGCAGGCTTGAAGAATCCCTGAGCAAAGCCAGTCATGCTTCATAAGTGAGCTTAACTTTGTTTGATTTGCAAATATAAGTGAAACTTAACTTGGCTATTCCTTGTAAATGACTATATCAAATAAAAATGAAACTTAAGGCTAACCAATCAGAAGCCACCGACTAACATAGTTATACAACTAGGGAATTTGCAACAGGATAGACCAAATAAGACAGCTATAGACCTGCAACCAATCAAAGCCCCTAGTGTTCCTTCAAAGGAACTCTTAAACTGCTTCTCTTTTGTGGCTGCCTGACTCATGAATCACTGCTCAGATAAGCTCTTTCAAATTAAATTGTGCCTCACTTTAACTTTTGACATATCAAAAAAAAAATGATAATTAAAGAGACCACATGTTGAATCAAACAAATAAGGCCATCTCATCCTGGAAACTGAGAGCAAGAAATGTGTGCCATTTACCTCTGCATTGCCACCCACAGTACCTAATTTAACCTAGTAATTTCTCAATAAATAAAGGCAGCAAATAATTGAGAGCAAAGGCAAGGAGACTTCAGTTTAAACCCCACCTCTGCCACTTCCTTGCTGAAATGAGAGTAGTAATGCCTGCCTCAAAAAGTTGAAGGGGTTAATTGAATCTCTCTGTTTCTCTTTCTTTTAAGCACAAAGACACACACATAAACACACAGGCACACAAACACACCCCCCCCAGTAGAAAGTATAATAAAAAGTATCCAATAAGGTAAGAGAAGACATAGAAATTTTTCTTGATTAATAACTTACAGCTTAGCATGCTTTTCTGTTTTGCAAGAGATGCATCGCTGGATAGTTGATTGATTAACTCCATAGATTCCAAGCCATGTAAAAGTTCCTCCCACTGAGATTGTCCAAAAAGTGTGCCGCCTGAGGGGATCCATATCAAAGCTATAAGGCACAGAGAAGTGAGTAAACAAAGATGTTTCTTTGATTCCCAGCTATTATTTTAGGTGATGAGGGCATGCAGCTCAATCTTTATAAGATAGCATTAGGCATACTCAAATATATTTAGTCGGGATCCATTTGTTGCTTGCTCGAATACATTGTGTATTCCACCAGCATGAGCCGATCCTTGAATGAGGACCGTTAAGAAGCCCACAATCATGACAACCATCTGAAATGCATCTGTCCACACCACTGCTTTTAATCCACCCTGCAATGAAGAGAAGGGATGTGAGTTCTTAAAAATGAAGCCTGCAACTCTTCCAACTCTGCACAGCCTCCCTGCTAATGCAATCATTCATTCATTCATTCATTCATTCATCAGTAGTCACTGAGCATGTGTCAAGTACTATGTTAAGCATGGAAATAAAATGGTGAGCAAAGTTAAGGTCCCTTCCTTAACTTCACAGAGTTTATAATCTAATGAGAGAAGCAGATATTAGACAACATGATAGTGATTTACTTAAAATTGTGCAAAGTGTGATTAAGGACAGGTTACTAAGGGGGCACGTAACAGGGAATCCTGACCTGGTCTCAAGGATATGACATTTAAGCTAAGTTCTGAAGAATAAGTAGGAATTTACCAGGTACAGAGGACAAAGTGGATAAGGGATCAGCATGTGTGAAGGAGGAAAAGTATGGGCTCTCTGAGGAAATGAGAGAAAGCTGGAATATATAGGTCAAAGGATATGGAACGCCCCAGGGGGAAGTTTCTAAATTTGCTAGACACCAGAGCACACAGAGCCTGACAAGGCCACTTAAATGATTTCTCAAGAGCAATAGAGATCATTAAGGGGGGTTATATGATGAGAGATTTTGGTATTTGTTTATAGTAGTTTCAATGGCCATTGTGTGGAGCATAAATTTCAGAACTGTAGAAGAAAAGGAGTTGAGAGACAAGCTCAGAGTTTAGTTCAGTAGTCCCTGCCCCAGATGATTGGCAATTTGAAGTAGGGTGGAGATGGAAAGAAGTGGATGGATTTGCAAGATATTTGGGGCCTAAAATCAACATAGTTATGATTCATTGAATACAGGCAATGATAAAATAAGGGAATTAAGGGTAATTACCTGGGTCTGGCTTGTACAACTTGACATTTTTTTTTTGTAAAACTAGTAACAGTGAATACAGTTTGGGAAACTCAGATGGCAGGCTACTAAGGAAGAAGAAAAGAATTATGAAGGAATGTTAGATTGCAGACATTTATAGAGGAAGGAGTTTTAAAAGTTACAGGGATGGTCACATAGTGAGATGAGCACACCAGAGTTTCAGGGGAATGAATATCATAGTAGAACTTAGGGTAAAGTGACTAGGCAAGAGTTTAGAGCAGGGGTTATCAAGGGTTATCAAACCTGTCTCCCCTCTAGAGTCACCTAAGGAACTTACAAGGAAAAAAAAAGATGAAAACAAAACATCTGAATCTCATCCCCAGGGATTCTGAATTAATTGAGGTCTGGTTTGGGTCCCATCCTCAATGTCTTTTGAAAGCTCCCCAGGTGATTCTAATGTAGAATTATAGTTGAGAACATCTGGGGAAGAAGGAAGATGAGAGAGAGGATAGCATTTCAGGTATAGAAGCCCATAGGACCATGGAGAAGGTGGGATGAGCAAATAGGAAAAGATGAAGTGAAGAGATATATAAAAAAGTGGTTTGAAAATGAATGAGCTTTGTGGTATTTTTAACATTGAAAAACAGAATTATCATTCCTGGTTACTCCTCCAGAGTGTCAAGAACTTCAGTGAAAAGATGACAGGCTTCATCTTTATCTTAAGAAGAAAAGAAGACATTGGGGTTGTTGCATCATTTCATTTGTAATTAAAATTAAAATTCATTTTAAAAAATAGACATTGAAGCACCTTCCAAAGGGATTGTATTTATATATTTTGTTCAAACTGTGGTTTGAGGAATAATAAATTTCTTACCTCCCACCTCCTAGGTAGCACTATCTTGATTTCCTTTAAAAACCTTAAGCTTTCCAAACCCAAACCTCAACATCAGATTTTTGTGCAACGAAGACCAATTGTTAAAGGCCTCAGTTTTCAGAGGCTACTTGGTTATGCAAAAATCTGCATAAATCTGAACATCAGCTAGACATGAAGCAAAAGAACAAACCACTTTATCAAATATTCATCAAAAGGCAGATGAAAGCCACCATGGAAACTTCTCTGACTCTTTCATGCAACAAGATTCTCTCTCTCTTTCTCTTCCGTAACACATACTCACATGCACACACAAGTGCATGCACACATACACGTACCCCATTGACCTTCTATAAACTGATTGTGCCTTGTGTATGACTTATATATTTAATCAGTTTGTGTTGTTTGGGGTCTAATGTTTGCCTTACTAAATTGTAAACTTCTGGATAGCAGGAATAACTTCCCCCTTATCCACTTCACTGGATATTTTAGATGCCATGCCACCACAGGCTGAGCAGAGTAAAGAGACTGCAATATGAGCAAAGGCGTTAGATAAATAGGCCACCATTTTGGTAAGATGCTCAGCCTCAGCCTCTAGCCTGGCCAGAGAGAAGAGAAATGGAGCAGAGGTGTGATGAGAAGAGATTATGTGAGTGCACTGGATTCACACAATGAAGGATTTCAGCTAAGGAGCTTGTACTTTATCTTGTGAACAATGGAAAAGTAAGAAGAGAATTAGGTCAGTCCAGTGTCATGAAGAAATGGATGTTTTAAGAAGATTAATCTGACAGAGGCATGCAGGGTGTGGAAACAAAATGAGACTGGAATCATAGAACCAGTTAGGAGGTAGTAAATTTAGTTCCTTTTAGTTTATTGTGATTATTAAAATAACCAGACTTGTTTCTGAGGTTGCAATTTTTCATCTCTACATGTCCTACTTCTTTTAAATACTTGTTTTCCTCTTCTTTTCTGCTTAGATGGAATGAGGGTTTTTATTTTAATTCCATCTTTCCACTTTGAATGTTTCATTTAAATGAGTCTCCTTAAAATTTTGCCAGGTTTTTGAAATTTAGAGTCAAAATTTAAGCAATGCCTTAATCTTGACCAATTCAAGTATTATAAAACCCTGAAGTCCGATTATCCTCTTCCTGATTTACATGCTATTATTATACAATTTGGGGGTTATTATTTTTCTTAATTCCAAAATTATATATGATAATAATTATTGGTATATTTTGTATTTTAAATTGTATAGTCATATATAACATTTAATAATATAACATATAAATTATAATATAAAATAATCATTAAGCATGGAAATTATTTGACTAAACTTACTAAATGTTAACTATTCTATTATCAGCACTTTGTCCATTTTCAACTGTCATAATATTTTTCCTTTTTCTTATAGTACTTCCTCTAGATTTTTCTTTGGGGGAGATTTCTTAGTGCTAAATTCTCTTGGTTCTTTACACACAACTCCTGAAAGATAATTTTGTTCAAAACACAATTATAAAGTTGACAATTGTTTTTCCTCAGTACTTCGAATACATTATTCCTTTGTTTCTGGCTGCCATCACTGTTGCTAAGAGGCCTGGCTTCAGTGTTTCTTTGCAGGTGTTTCTGTTTCTGCTCTCTGGCTGTTTTTCAAATCTTCTATTTGTATTTGCTGTTCTATAGTTTTATTAATGCGTCTAGATAGGGACTTCTCTTTTTCTTTTTCCTTTTTAAGGTTGCACTTTTCTAAATCTTTAAATGCTTGTCTTTTATCATTTCTGAAAAATTGCAAGCTGTAATTTTTTGAAATATTACATCTCTTCCATTCTTTCTGGAGTGTCTCTTCTGAGATTCCAATTGGACATAAATTAGACTTTCTTATGTTGATCCTCCAGATGTCCCCATTTCTCCTTCATTTTTCCATCTCCTTGTCTCTCTGTTATACTTTGGGTCATTCCTTGGGTCATTCCTGATGCTTACTCATCTTTGGAATTGCATCCTTTATTTATTTAAATTTTTTGTTCATATGTATTTTTTATTCAATATAGTGCAATTCCAATATGTGCTGTTGTTGAGAAGCCAAATCTCTGTTGTTTTGCTGATTTTCAATCATGGTACCTTCCCATTTTATATTTCTAATAATATTTTATTATAAGATTATTGTTGGATCTTTATCTCTGTGTATCGTATAGTCCTAAGTTGGATTCTTCCTCCAGAGAGGATTTGCACTTTTTTCTTTGCAAGAGCCAAAGTGCATCACTGAACTGGAACCGCTTCAGCTCTCCTCAATGATCCCAGTGTAATGTGATAGTGCCAAGCTCAGCTTCTCTACATGACCACTGACCCAGGGCTCCATATCTCAATAGTAGTACTGGTATCAACACCTGCCTTCAGGTCAGCCCCATCCCTCTTGTCTACCCACCACATACTCCTTCCAAATATCGGTCCACATTATTCATATATTTAAAATTATTTTGTTATATCATTTTGCTACTTTATTTTGTGTGTGTGGGGATTTACTTGGGGAGCTATAATCTCTTTTGCAAGGCCAGCAATGCATCAAGAAGTTGTTATATCTGGCATCTTGCTGTTTTTCTGTGGATAGGTAGCTCAAAGCAACTGATCTGTCATACATGGTCAAAGGTGGAAGGAGCAGGAAGGTATTTTTAACTAGGTAGGAGGAGGTGTGTGTCTGAAATAGAATTATTGTAGTGAGAATGGAATGAAAAAAATGAAGATAAAGCTTTGAGCATAAGAGATAATTTGCAAGCATGAAAAAGAGATAAGGGCATTTTAAGGTTGTGTGTAATCAGGATTAAATGTTACAGAATATGTGATATGTAAATAGTGCCAATGTATATGAATGGTCTCCTACGTGATATCTCAATTACTTTATTTTTCTCTATAGAAGACAAAAGAGAATCCTACTGTCTGGAAACCATTGCCATATGCTTAACTGGTTAATTATAACTCAGACATGGTACAATGCTCAGAATAATAAAGATCTGAGTTGTAGGGTGTGGGCAAACAATAGGTGCTCAGTGAATGCTTGTTGAACTAATTGTAATAATTATATAAACATGTTGTCAATACCACTCAGGTTCCTTGATTAGAAATAGAGCATGTATAAAGCCAAATGTCAAATGTAATCCAGGCTTATCCATAAATGAGACAAAAACAAGCTGTGGAATCCTCAAGTTTACAGAATACCAGCCATCCTATTCATTCATACATGTATTTTGTTATTTCTCAACCAATAGACAATGAAGTATAAATGCTACTTGTGGCTTAGGACCGCTATTAACGAGCAAAACTTTTCTCAGAAGTGGCATAGGGTCACCTTCCTCTTATCAAAGACACATTTCTTTCATCAAATCTTTTCATATTAGGCATGCCTTTCTTAAAATGAGCTCAGAGCCTAAAGACTCCCAATGGTTAGTACTAGAAAGAATTTTAAATAAAACAACAGCACCTTCCTCAGGAAACTTCAACAGATAAGCTGACATACTTCTATTTAATTTTGGAATAGCAGTTTCTGCTATAATTAGATGCCTGCTGTTGGAGATTTGCCCTTATGCCATATTAGGAGGTAGTGTTAAATACTTTTTCACAGCTAGATACATACCAGGGTACAGTAGAATGTGCAAACAATTCCTGTTGCAAACACAGAGCCCCAGAGATCAAACCCAGTCACTAGGAAAAAAGAAAAACAACATTAAAAGAATTTTCTCTGGAAAAAAGTAAAAGAGCAAGTTTTATGAAGAAAAAAGGCACAAATTTTTGTCAGTGTTCTTTGTGGGCAAAAATAAAAATAAAATTAGAATTTCCACTCATTAAATTTTCTCATCTTTGAGAGTCTTTTACTGCATTTTTATACTTCTAGCCAGTCCATAAATTTCATGTAACCTTCAGTCAAAATTTTCCTAAGATTGTGTAGCTTCTAATCTTTGATCCAAATATTTTTGGTTTTGAGGGTTTTTTTCTGTTTTCCTTGACAAAGTTATCTGAGTACTCTAAAACCACCTAAACATCAGCTATGAATTAATATTTCTCACTATAAACACATAGCCCAATTCAATTGAATATTAAGGACTTTCAATATAGTGGATGTCATTGTAAAATTTCTTTTCTCCTTTATTTTTTTCTTTCCTTTTTGTTTCTAGGATTTTATTTCCTCACAAGGATCAACTATAAATCTTAATGTAATTATTACAGGCCCCATTTATTCTTGTATTCAGATTATCCACATCATGAAATCACTTAAAAAGAATCATATACTATAAGTGACCTTACCGAATGGTTGTTCATATACAATAACAAAGCTGTTATAATTTTGATGATCAAAAAAAATAAAAATAAAAATAAGAAAACCCCAAACAAAAGCAATCAAGCTTGATATTTAAAACTATGTGAAGCCAAATCAAATAACTATATTATTTTCAATGCTCAACTTCAAAGATTTATGTAGTAACATCTATAGTAATTCACAGCTCCCTAACCAGAGAAATATCTCCCCAATAAGATATTTTATGTGTACTTCTCCGAAGTGAGAGTTCAGGCATGAACTGGGTAGAATGTGCCCAGGGGAATGTCAATGACTCACCTTGATTAAGGGCCAGGGCAGGAGCATACACCACCACTCCTGTGTAGAGAATCTGGAGGAGAAACAAGAATCAGGTGAACAGTGAGGAAGTGACACGGGAAGAAAAACTGCCTAGGAAGTTCTTTGTTGACCTTAGAGATGTACTTCCTTCAATGTGTTCATCAGACATTTCATTCCCACCCACTCTAATTGTGACATTGTTCACATTAGATTATAGAGAGGATGCAAGCCATTAGATTATAGAGAGGATGTAAGTGTCAGATGGAGGAACAGGGTTGGATTTTTAAGACACCTAACTAGTTCTGAGATTTTATGGTTGTATTTCGTATATTTCTAAGGGATACAGAAACAGGCTTCAAGAGTTTTGATACACCCTCCCTGTATCATCCACTCCCCTCATGCACACACATCACAATGGCTCTCTGCTGACTTTGTGAGACACTTTACTAAGGAAAAGAAGCACATTCTGGCAGTTTGCTGAAATATAAAATTCAGAGTGGAAATGGAAAGAATCTGTCAGGAGAAAGTACTGTGTGGGGAAAACTAACAACATGGGTGATCTACATAACACATATATCTTCTAACTCGCAGAATCACAACCACTACACTGATGGAAATCGGTAGGATTCCATTTTGTTTTAAATGGAATTTCACCCTTTAGAGATTCACGTGGGGATTTTCAAAGGTAAATATCTGTGGGCAGGTCAAGGAGAACTCTTTTTCTCCTATTCTCTCGCTTAAATCCTTCAGTCCTGTGAGTGGGAGTGTTGATTAAGAGGGAAGAAGCTTATTTTCTAGCAGAAAGTACTTTCCTTAGAAGTAGGAAATGCACCAGTGGTGTGCCAGGGGCAAGCTTGGGGCAGCGTGAAGGCAACTCAAAGCCTGAAGGGCTGGAAAGGAGTCCATAAAGGAGAAGTAGGGATGTTGGTTAGGAATATTGTCTTAAAATGACTTTCAGCAAAACTGGCATTTCTGGTTCAAATCAGTTAAAACAACAACAACAAAAAAGTCAGTTACCCGACCATTCCATAGCTAAAGCAATTCATACAGGTTAAATGGGAGTGAAATAAATGTTAAGAAAATGTTTTTTTCCCTTGTGGCTTACAATATATATTTATTTTTAGTCCAGATCTGTGGGATTTGCAATGTGAGCACCTCTCAAGGTCATCACATATCTTGAAAGTGCTATTCTTGGAAGATAGTAGTGCCTTCTTAGTATTAAAGTCTGTCTGTTAATCCAGTTAATTGCCCCTGAAGTAAACACACCTGTATCTTGCAACCCCACAGTTTCCACCTCTTACCGTCTGCACAATGTAGATGACTGTTGCTGCGTAGCGAACTGGTTTGTTGAATCGTAGTTGCAAGTACTAAAGAGAACAGAAAGACATGCAAAGCCAGTGAGTTTTAGATAAGAGCTGCTAAGAGGGTCCCTTTTTTCTTGGTAGTCCTCTGACTTTCATGTTTTGGACTTATGATTTTATGGTATGTCTCCTTATAAGCAACAGGGAAAACAAAGAAGTCAAAGATCTATTAAAACTCAATTCTTTCGCATACTCTCATGATGGTCAGAGAAAATAAGTGGGCTGTTTGAATGAAGATTCAGTTCTTCTGCCTTTGTGCCCAGAAGTCTTCCTACTAGGCCCACTGAAGCCATTATTTCCTTTTATATTTTTACTTCTCCAAATTCAGCTCAATTCTTCATTCTCTTTTTCCTTGATTGCTGCTGCAGCTCCCTGATTGATCTCCCTAATATTGGTCCTTGCCCATTCATCCCATCAACCACATATCTGCCACATCAATCCTCTTAAAGCAGAGCTCTAATCACGTCATTCTTTGTCTTGAAATCTTCAATGATTCCTTATCATGAAAAAAACAAAGCCCACATCCCAGGATTGATACTCCAAACCAGGGGTCCTCAAACTTTTTAAACAGGGGCCAGTTCACTGTCCCTCAGACCATTGGAGGGCTGGACTATAGTTTAAAAAAAACTATGAACAAATTCCTATGCACACTGCACATATCTTATTTTGAAGTAAAAAAACAAACAGGCAAAAAACACCCGCATGTGGCCCGTGGGCCGTAGTTTGAGGATGCCTGCTGCAAACCCTCTATTGTCCAGATCATATCTCAAGTCATATCACTAAACTTCACATAGTTTATTCTTCACATAAAGTCAGCATCTGTTGTTCAGCTAACATGGTTTGTGCTTTTCAGACCTTTCCTTTGTTTAGGTAGAACTCTCAACAGAAGAGCCTCTCTCCCCCAATTTGTATTAAATAGTAAGTCTTAGTCCTTGAACAAGAATGGTCCAGTCACTATGCCTATCCATACACATACTTTCTCCCCTGAGCTCAAATGGCACTAATATCAAACCTTTGTCCTTGGCATCAGTTGCTGTCTTGTACTTTGGTGTTGGGTTTGTTTATCTTACTGTATTTATTTCCTATGGCTGCTGTAATAAATTGCCACCCATTTGTTGGCTTAAAACAACAAAAATTTATTCTCGAACAATTCTGAAGGTCCGAGGTAAAAAATGAATGTCAGTGGGCCCAAATCAAGGTGTTGGCAGGGTTGCACTCCCTCAGGAGGCTATAGAGAAGAATCTGCTTCTTGCCTCTTTGAGTTTTGGTGGCTGCTGGCCAACCTTTGCTTCTGGTTGCCTCACGCCAATCTCTATTTCTATAGTTGCATTGCCTTCTCTTTCATCTATGAAATTTCCAACTACCTCCCTGCTATAGAGATACCTATAGTTATATTTATATTTAATACCCACCTGGATAATCCATAATAATTTTCTCATCGCAAGATCCTTAATTTAATCACATTTGAAATGATCTCCACCTTTTTTTTTTTTTTTTAACCATGTAAGGTAACATTCACAGCTCTCAGGACTTGGGCATGGATATATATTTGGGAAGGGGTGGTGATTTTTTTCAACCTGCCACATTTATCATCTCTGATATGTACAAACAGTGTTCTATTTTGTTAATTTTTATCTTTTTCATATCATTCAACAAATATTTGTTATTTGCCTTTCATATTGCACTCTTGACACACCATAATAAGCAAATATGATCTTAGAGACTAGATGAAGGGACCATTAACAAATATTTATATTAATAAGTTACAATTGTGATATGTACTAGAAGAACAGTTAGGTTAGCTGTAAACATAGTAAATAGCAGAATCTGTCTTACCCTTGGAGGTTTTTTCTGAGTATTTTAGAAGGCATTGCTATGTGTCTTCCAGTGCATAATAAACATATATCGAATGAAAAAAATAAATTTTAAAAGTAGCAATGTCTTGAGGATTCAATTTCTTGTTAGTAGTTTCTACTTGGTAGTAGTTCTTTCTTATCTCAATTTTAGGAAAAAATCATTTTGATTAAATCAGGAGTTAACTACTCATTTGCCGTTTTCCTAGAAACAATACATAAATGTTGTTTTATGGCCTTTCCTAAAACAAGGAACTCCTCTTAGCATATTATGATTCCATTTCACATTAACCCACATTTCTCAACTTATGCCCATCTAGATCCCCCCATCTCTCAGGAAAAAAAACAAACAAACAACAACAAAAAAAACCCCCTATTTTCAGACCCTCTTTCTTCAGATGATACATTCAGTGAATTGTGAGCCAGATTACAGTCCTGTGAATGTGTGACTCAGAGCACTAGATATAAGGAAAATATTCTTTCAGAAAAAAAGGAAGTCAGTGAGGAGTCAAAACTCAACTATCATAGGATAAAAAACACTGCAAAACTTTTGTGTTGAAGACAACCTGAGCTCAAACCCATGCCCTTGGGAAGATTAGTTACTCCAGTTGGCCATGGTTTTCTCTTTCTAAAATAGATGATTATAAGACTCAAATGGCATAATGTATTATAATGCCAAGTTCAGGGCTAGAAATATAATAGAATTCAGTGGCTGTAGTAGTCCTTGTGTGTGCATCACCCATAGTGTATTGTCACTCACTGTTCCAGTACATGTCAAAGGCACTAAAAGTGCCTGTGATTATCTGCTAGAGGGCTTTCTCTCAGCCCTTGCATAGAGAAGATAAGAAATGCTTGGGGGTATTGTCATTGGCATTTAGCCAATGATTAAATGGAGTTGGATGAAAAAATACCCTGGCTTCCTTGCCTTTCAGAGAGGACAACACTGAGACATGCTCTATACTGTCTCTTAATGATCCCCAGTACCCAGTACAATTGAACCCTTGTTGCTCACAGTGGTGACCTGCTCAAAGGTGCACTTTTTATTGGTTTCTTTTCCTTCCCTGTTTCACTTTGCCACTTGCCTATTGATGCTTCCTGGGATCACTTCCCTCCAAATCAATTTGCATTCAAATCCTTGTCTCAAGATCTGCTTCCGGGGTGATACAACTTGAGACAGTGATATTTCTAGCCAATATATTGCAAGTGGAGACTTTAGAGGAAGATACCAAATGTAACATAGACAAGCTGTGTCATCTGCATTTCCCTAGACAAGAGAGCCCCTAGCCAATTCACTACCTGATGGAAGTCACATAGATGCCCCGAGAGAGCAGCAGAAGAGCCTTCTGGAGCCCAGTTGAACCAGGCCAAATTGCTAATCCACAGCATTGTGAGCAAATATAATTGCTGTTTTGAGACATTTATTTTTGAGTGGTGTGCTACATAGCAATGAATACCCAGTACGAAAATTGATACTAGAAGTGGGGAGATATTATAACAAAAACCAAATATATGTAGTATTAGCTTTGGGACTGAGTGGCACATGAAGCCTGATAAGGCAAAGGGGAAATTAATCCTGAAAAATGGTAAGTCCATGAGAATATTGCACTGAGAATCTGCAAAATTAATGATTTTCACATTTCAGTTTAGTTCCACTCGATTCAGTCAATTCAGCAAAACTACTGGGATAGTACTGGGGAAAAAAAAGACCTGGATCAGAAGTCAGGTTCCCTGAATTCCAGTTTGAGATATGCTTATCTTACTTTGTGATCTAAGCCTCTGGTTTCTCATCCATGAAAGAAGAAAGGCTATTACAAACTGCATAATTTTACACATGAAAGACTGTATTCACTTTTCCTTTTAATATATTCAGTTATTAACTCGGTGGTCACCTTTGGTGTGTGTATATAAGCTATTACTATAGTCAAAAGTAAAAATGCAATTTAAGAGTTGCATGCTTCATGCATGCCTTTAAACATACCAGAGATGACACTTACCAACATTATGTTGCATTATTTTTAGAACTCCAAACTTTATCCAGCTATATGCCTTTCCATTTTGGAAAATAGCAACTCCGCTTTTCATTTTGGTTCAAGCACAAATAACATAGAGCCGACCTTTACTCCCCTCTTTCTCTCACTTCCAACATCCAACTTGTAAAAGAATCCTGGTGCCTACCCCTCCACTTTGAAAACATATCCACTTACATTATCTCCTCTCTTTCCACCCTATCACCATCATCTCTTGCCCAGATTATGTCAATAGACTCCTGATTAGTCCCTCAGATTCAGCAGTCAAAAACCATACAATCATTCTCAATATCCAGCTAGAGTAATCCTCTTAACACAAAAATCACATCATGTCACTCCTCTGCCCAAGCACTGTATTGGCCCAGCTCACTTAGAGTAAAAGCCAATCCCTACCATGACCTAAAAGGCCTCATAACAGTAGTTCAGACCCTATCAGAACCTAAATATCTATTTTATAACAAATATTTTATAACACCATTTATTCTGCTGAAATAATATCTTACATCCAAACATCTAATTACTCAAAATATAAATATAATTACTACAATACCAGGACCATCATTTAAAGGAGACCTAAACAGAAAGCAATTTATCAAAACAAAAAAAGTGTGTAGTATATAAATGCTCAGAAACCACTATTCAATAAGACATAGTGAAATAGTAGTCTGTGCATTATCATGATGAAAACATTGGTTTGAAGAAGTAAGTAGTTCAAAAACCATGAGGTTCAAGAAAAATGAGAGAGCAGGTAGGCATTAGCCTATAAACTAGTATTAAGGGCAACTACTAACAGACTGGATTTATTAGTGTATGATAAGAGAAAGAAGGAAATAACCCAAACTAGAGTGAAGATAACATAATGAGACTAATTATAAACTGTCCAATTGAGATAATGAAAATGTATGATATTGTAAATGAGCTGAGCCTAATTTATAACTGGAGGGTGAGAACAATTCCTTATGCTTTGACATGGGGACAGGGTAGTGATAAAGTAGCACAGATGGCATATTTTAGTCTTGAAATTCCACTGCATATCAAAGCATTTAAATTAGTTGGCTATTGCTGCAAACACCCACCCCAAAACTCATGGGTTCAAAAACCAAATATGTATTATTTCTCATAATTCTGAGGATGAACTGAGTAGCTTCTCTGCTCGTTTCATCAGGACTCTCTCGTGGCTGCAGTCAGCTGGAAGACAGCTGAGCGAGGAGGTTTAACATGGCCTCACTCTCATGGCTGGCAGCTGGCGTTGGCTGTGGGCTGGTGTCTCTGTTCTTTGCTATGTGTCCACTCCTGCTCCTGCAGCTAGTGCAGCTACACCAGCTTTCTTACATAGCAGTATTAGCGCAGCATTCCGAGAAGACAAAGGCAGAAGCTACAAGCCCCATGAGGCCTAGGCTCCAAACTCACACAACATCATTTTGGCCACATTCCAGTGGTCAAAGCGAGTCACAAGACCAGCCCAGGTTCAGAGGATAGGGAAAAACTGACTCCACCTCTTTCTATCTTTAGTACTTGGAAAGACCCTGGAAAGCATATCTTGAATAGGTAATAGAGAATGGAGGGTAATTACCTATTCAATATATGGAGGATGAACAAAGAAACAGAAATTCAAGATGCTACAAAGAGATTTGAGTGGTATAAATCTGGGAATAGCAACAACAACAAATATAACACAAAACTACAAAACTCTCACTTAACATTTACTATTTGCCAAGGTCTGTTAAAGGTATTTACACATACTATCTCATTTACTCCTCACAGACATCCTTTGAGATAGATGTTGTTATTACCACTGTTTTACACACATGAAAAGCAGATATGGAAAAGTTAACCAATTTCCCCCCAAAGTCCTGAAACCAGCAGGTGGCAGAGCTGGCCTTCACAGCCAAGTAGACTGAGTGTGGAGTCTCTATGCGTCTGACCCCTATGACATGATACCAGTTTTATAAAGCAAGAGCAATCCCAAGTAACCTCATCTGTACTTTGTACACTCCAGATATCTTATCATTAGGATACTAAAAATTTTAAAATACGTAGCAAACAACAACAGTAAGTATTTAAACAATAATTTTGTAAATTAAATCCAAAGCAGTCCTTGTATTTCCTATATCTGTACTAATTATTTTTCCTATATCTGTACTAATTAATTTTTATTAATTTAAAAGGAGTCTCAAATCTCCGCAGTTGCATAATACAATTGGTTTAATTGCTTTTGTAATAACTGAACCATTTTTCTAAAACTAGTTACAGCCAAGCATGTATTGAGTAGCATATATGGAATAGACACATTGCTCAGGAGGAGTAAATTGCTCAATCATTTCAAGGCAATGTTTTTATTTCATTTTAATTTCTAGAAAATGCACTAATTTATAGTATGTGTGTGTGCCCATAACTTCTGATTTTAAAAAGTTATTATTATGTACTAAAGTACTACTAATTTATATTTGCAGTAGTTTCCCAACATTAAACATTAAAAAATGATGCAGCGCAGGATGCAATTACTCCTTGTATATGTGTGTCTTACACATTGCAAGATATCCGGAGTCCCTGCCCCTCACTCTTTTTAAGTTTCAGTAGTGGCTCCTAATCATTGTGACACCCAAATTTTCCCAAAAAATATCCAAAGTGCTCCCTCTGTGTGACACCACCCCCACTGGGACCACTACTGTATGTAACTGGGCCCTCCCACCTCTTTAATCCTATCTTGTACTATTGTCCCCTTTGCTCATTCTTCTTCATGCCCATTGGTTTCTTTTTTTTGTCCTTCTTTAGTGATTTTGCAACTGTGACTACTTCAGCCTGGCATGTTCTGCCCCTGTCTGATGCAATCACTTGCTTTCTCCTGGTCTCTATTAGTGCCCTATTATCATTGAAGTTTTACTTGACCACCGTCTATGAATTATGGAGATTCTCCACCTACACCAACATTGCTTCTCTCTGCTTTGTCGTATTTATTTTTTCTCTATTGTCTTTTGCAGGGCAGGATAGCATAGTGATTCAGACTATGATCTCTAAAGTTAAACTGCCTGGTTTGAAAAACTGCTACTTGTCCACTTGTAGCCAAGTGACAATGAGCAATTTACTCAACTCTCTATGTGCCTCAGTTTTCTAGTCTGTTAAATGGGGATGATAGTACCTATCTACAAAAGATTGTTGTAAAGCCAAATGAGTTAACAGGCGTAAAGTAGTTAGAGCAACGCTTAGCACACATTTAAATGCCACGTAAATTTGTGTTATGATTGTCTTACATGGTATACATTTATTGACTGCCCTTTTCTGTTATAAAGTAAGCTCCATGTGGCCAGGAACTTGGTTCAGTGCTTTACCTCCAGGGCCTAGAAGAATGCCTAGAACAAGCCCAGCATGGTTAGTGTACACCTTTAGTCCTAGCCACTTGGGAGGCTGAGGCAGGAGAGAGGATCACTTGAGCCCAGGAGTTCAAGAACAGCCTAGGAAAAATAGCAAGACCCCACCTCTGGAAAAAACTGTGGAAAAAACCAAGAATGCCTAGAATATAGAATATGCTTAATGAGTATTTACTAAATGAATAGACAGTCATAAAATTATATTCCACATCTAGGTAGTTTTTTATGACTTAAAAAGCTCTTTCACTTTAAACTAAACATCTATGAAAGAAGGAAGTTATTTTCTATGTGTAAACTTGAGTTGAGAAATGCTAAATAATTTGCACATAAAGTGGTCCTGTTGCTAAGAAATGGACTTAGACATTGAACTTGTGTTTTCTAAGTTTTGTCTCTTCTCTCTCTCATTTTTTTTTTTTTTTTGGCGTTTTTGGGCATTCTTTTTTTAATTGCTTTTTTTCTTTTAAAAAAAACCAAACAGAAAACTCAGTAATATCTTTGGGAGTCCAAGCTTCATAGTTGAATGGAAAAACCTATAATATATTTATATTTTTAGAAGTACATTAATGAACAATGGGATATGTATACATTTTTAGGACTAGGTATAAATGTAGTCATTTTCTCTTGAATCTACAACCTAGGTAGTGCCATTACATGAGCCAACCCTAACTACTTTCTTTATTCGGGAGGGGGAGTTAATGTTGAATATTTAGGAGATGATCATCCAGGGAATCATAAGTTTTAAGACCTTCTAGAAATTGTCCATTTGCCTGATGGCTTTTCAAATCTAGAGTAACTCATTTATCTTACAGAATTTTAAAAAGTGGTCAGTTATTAGTCTTCTGCTGTGACTGAATAGGGGTGAATTTGGACAATGAAAATAAACACCATTTTTTAATAGAACTTTATGATCACACAAATATTGGACATGAAAACTCAATTTTGAACATGATGTTTTTATTGAGAATTATTGCAAAGCCAAAACACCACTGTCTCATTTTTCTTTCATTAAAATAATTCCCATATTTGTATTATTTAACTTTTCTTTCCTATTAAAATATTTTTATTTTTCAAAAATATTATCATTTTCCCATTAAAAATTGAAGCCTCATAATAATCTGTATTTAAATGTTCTCTACTGTCTGATGGAAAGGCTACTAAACAGAGATACAGGAAAATAATAGATTCTCAATAGACTTTACCCACTATTCAATCTTAACTAAGTCATTTATCTGTATTTCAGTTTTCTCAGCTGGAAAACTGCAATTCTCATGATATTTGTTCTGTTTGCATTTTAGAATAATGATGCTAAATAATAATAAATAATAACATCAGCCTTCTTTGATTGACAACCTCAGAGCAATGTGTTAGATGTTTACATAAAGGTTCTCAATTTAATCATTGAAATAGCCCTGTGGGATCGACATCATTATTTCCATTCTACAGATGGGAAAACAGGTGTCTGTATCCAGAGCTTAGGCTTTTTTACAATAATGTTTTAATGTCTTTCCCATAGTGTTGTAATTGCCCTGAAAATAAGTGAGTGTTCTTCAAATACCAGGTGTACAACAGGATAATAAGAAAAACAAATAAGAATAACAAAAATCCTTTGAGTAGAGAGAAAATAATAATTCCTGCCGAAATAGAGAAGCAGGGAGCAATTCTCTTACCTCGTAAGTGCTGGTGATGCCAGATCTGTAGAACACAGGGAGAAAGAGCTCTGACGTGAAGATGATGACAAATGCATACGCAATGAAGAAGAGTATGAAGGATGCCCCAAAGCGATAGACCTCGGAAGGGGCCCCGAGAACAGTTACAGCTGACATGAAGCTGGCTGTCAGAGACAATGCTACAGGACCAAATGTCATTTGTCTTCCTCCCACCAGGAACTCCCGGGAAGTTGCCTTTTTTCTCTCCTTAATGGCAAAGAACACTCCAATGCCAGAGGAAATGACAAAGAGGGCTGCAAACACAACATAATCCCAAACTGCAAAGTTCTTCACCTCCATGCTGAGAAGTATAGCACCAGAGAGTTGCTTTCAACCAGGTCTCAGGGAGATGTTTCCAAAAGCAAAGCTTAGTACAGCAGAGGCTTTGCAGAGAGAGGAGATAGTGAGTGATTCCCAGAAGAGAATGACTAGCAGAGGCACTTGTGCGAATCTTCAGACACCAAGTAATATTCAGAGAAGATCTCAAAAGTTGACTACAAAGAAGAATCTGGTAGTGGTATCGGTACCAAGAGATGAGAACTTGAAATCTGTCCCGAATCAAGAGCTGTCTGTTCCTCTCCTGAAGTATATGCCACGGAGAAGGAATTCAGATGTGTTTTGAAATTAATAACCACTGGGGGTGGACTAGACTTGCCAGATAACATGCTCTTTTATCTCCTTTTTTTTTTTTTTTTTAACTTAAGGTTAAACATTACTGGGAAACATGGAATTGATAAAAGTTGACCACCTCAGCATTTTTAATTAGTAAGGTGGAATCTGTAAAATGCAAACACACCACTGTCTCTCTCCAGGGTAAGGGCGGGTGGAGGATGAGTGCCGGCAACTGCTGGAGGCGGTGGGTGTGGACGGAAAGGAGCAAAGGACTAGGAATCTGAAGACCTTTGCTCAGATCCTGGCTCAACCATGAGTGAACTGTAATAGTTTTGACAAATCATTTAACTTTGCTAAACTTCACCTGGAACACTGGGATTATAAGACATTACAAGGTTATTATGAGTACTTAAATCTAAAACTCTTGACCTTTTCGGTCCTGGATCTACCTCATTGGCTATCATTTATGCACACAGTGGCTCACTCCTGAACATAATAATTTGTTCCCTGTTGACTCTAGGACTCATAAAGTGGATTTATCAATACTAAATAAATTTTTACAGCTCTTAATATTACCTTTTCCCTCTCTCCTTCATTTTCACCAGGTTACTATACTTGTACCCAGAGGCTGTGTTAGAGTTAGGACCAGGACAAATGAGAGAAGGAAGGTGACAATCCTGTTTCTGCTCTCAGTAGACTCTCTGTCAACTGTTCTAAAGTACCTCCAGGAAGCCTTTTGTGGAACAATTTCGCATTTTGTTCATACCCCTCCTTCTTCCTCAATGGCCCCCTCACCTCTATGAAGCCTATCAATTTTACAAGATCTTGTTTGAGTCTCCTCTGTGGAGCCGTTCCTGTCCCTCCTCCCCAACTCCTGTAAAAAGTAGCCTTTCTTAATACTCACTTTGTATTTACTTTGCACACTGCAATCATTCTCACCTATTTTTAGGAATAACTATGTTAGTGGAGGAGTCTGTTGGCTGTTACAAATGACCGGTTCCTTAAAGATAGAAGCAAAATGTCTAGTTCATATGCCCAGTTAATAGTAGCCATTATAGAACATAAGAAAATAATAATAAAAAAGAAGAAAACTAAAATTATCCATAATGCCCAAAGACAGAAACATTTTCAGTCACATGGAAGAAACTCTAATTTTGCTGTTGACATCAAGATAATTAAATAAAGCTTTGATTATTGATTTGATCTGGATACTGTCCTCACTCCCTGTTTTTGCTCCATGTATTTGAACTAGGCCTCAGAAAGCTCTGATGCCTAAAATATGCTTTTAGTTACAAATAAAGATATGAAGGCTCTCCCAGCAGCTGTCTGTGACCTGTTGTTTAAATTCTTCCTCCTCTAGTTTGGAGAATTGATAGGATCAAAGCTAATGGCAAACTAAGTCTTTAACATATTTACCTTCACCTAGGCTTTTAATTATTTTTATCATGACATATTCTAATTATGCAACATGCTTTCGTTGTAGTAGTTTCAGCAGAAAACCAAAACTTTATTTGGTTTCAGAGGCTTGGCTACTTTATACTTTAATATTAACACCACTTGAGTGCTAATATTTAATCTTCAAGACATGCAAACAACTTGTATGAACCAGGTTAATACTGGTTAAAAACACTATCATTATATCCATGAGGTCTCAAGGTTGAATACTAGAAGCATATAACTGAAGACTCAATGAGTACTGCTGGTTTTAATTAAGCTTCATGCAGAAACAGTATTATCTACATGACTCCCATTATTCTACTAACCACTCTCCTCTCTCCCCTCTCTCTGGGGGGTTAATATCTGGGATCTGAAGGAAGCTTCATGCCTCTCATAGTAAAGTATTCCTTGCTTTCAACATTTTGCTGATTATAAGACATAGCATCAATTTATTAATTTAATTTTCAGTTATTTTCTGCATATATACCCTTTCTTTCCTTTGGTAGTATACAATGTCCTCAAATCCTCTTCTTTCAACTAAGATTCACTCCATGCAAGATTTGTGCATAGCATCCATTTATTAATTAATAATTTTAATTAATTGATAATTGATAATTTATTAATACTTTTCAGGGGAAATATTAAGAACTAGTACATTCAATGTCTACATCGATTAGAAGTCATATTCCTACATCAGAAATGTTAGTATGGGGAGAAGGAAGAAAGAAAATGTGCCCCTTTGACCTGAAGAAATCCCTACTGCTCTCCCACCCCCTTTCAGGTCCACCAAATGCCACCACTCATATTTGATTCCTTTAGTGTAAGGCTCAAACCCCTATGAGAATGTAAACACCATCACCTGCTACATACACATGGCCCCAACGAAGTTCTGCCATCCATTTACCCACCTGCTTGATAAGTTAAATTTGTAATTGTTAACATTAATAGTGTCTGTAGTATAAAATAATTCTGCAAGTTGTAATGGGAAAGAGAAAGAGAGTTTAAGGACATGGAATGATACCAAAGGTAAAAAAAGGCTAAAGAACTGGAGAAATGGAATATCCTCAAAAGAACACTAATGGTGCAATGTTACTAAGAGCAGACTGTGCACAACATAATTATTTTGGCCTAGGATGGAAAACAAAGCACATGAACAGGGCTTGGCCATTTGAGACTGCACTTAACTTTTCTGATATAGGAATGTGTCTTCTAATTGATATAGCCATTGACTGTACTGTTTCTTATTTTTTCATTTTTACCCATTCTGTATTAAAGGCAAGGGTAATTTGGAGAGACGGAAAGATTTGAGGAGTTGACACTTGAGTTTCATGCATATATCCTCGCTAGAAAAAAACCAAAAAAACAAACACAAACATTTGTTTCCCAAGCTCTTTTGTGTTAGGTGGAAAACATCCTTTAGCGGCAACAAAACACCAAATTTCATTTTCTACCTTCTTTACTAAGCCATCTTGTGATTTTGGACATGTCACTTAATTTCTCTGGTTCTTAGCTACCACATTTGTAAAAATGATAGTATATCAGATTAATAACTAGATAAATTAGATCAATGTAAGTCAATAAATTACTTTGTCAAGTCTTTGTGAAATGTTACCTTCTTTGACTAACCTACTTAACTTAACAAACCTCCCACACTCCAAATCTCCCTTCTCTTCTGTATTTTTCTCCATCAGATGTTTCTCCTACTAATATACTATCTATTTTCAATGTTAGCATCCTTCCACTAGAATGTAAAGCTCCTAAAGGGCTCTCTGTATTCTGCTCTCTGATGTACCCTTAGCACCTAGAAGTTCGTGTCCCGTGGTAGAAACTCAGTAAGTTAAACTAAATAATATGAATAGTAGGAGTCCCTTCCATCTTTAGAACTTAGGTTTAATTTCTGTTTTACTAGGGGAAAAAAAACTAAGATATTTTCCCAAGCTTTTATTTTTAAGGCTGAAATATTTATCTACCCACAAACACATGTTCCAACATAAATAAAACTGAAATTTATATTCCATCCTGATTCCCAGAATTGATTGTAACTAAATGTGACTATAGTTAAGCCTTTATTCACTCATTCTACACACACTTAACAAATGAGAAAACAGATGTTGACTCAAACCTTTAAGAGGCAAATTTCAGAGTTCACTTACAAAGGCCAGCAGAGCACATTACTTAATATTAAAACAGACTAGTGGCAGTACAATTCCACAGTACACAAGTAGAACATTTAACAGAGTATTCCATTGGGAGGGTAATTGAGCATGACGGTGAAGGTCCTTTGCTAATTGTCTCATAGATCACAAGCAACCCCTCCGTTACAGAATGTTAAAGGAGAAAGCCACCAGCATGATCTACTATGGGCTTGATTTTGCTACATAAGCAAAAAGGGAAAGAATTTCTTTTTTGTCTCAGGCTGATAGGCATTAAAATAGGAACTTTTGAAGAAGCCACAAAACAGGAAAAAATTCTCAACTATCCTATAAACAAATAGAATTTCAATTAAATTCAAGCAAGTTTTAATAGTATTTTTTAATTACTAAAATTATTTGGAAATAATGAAAATATACTTAAAATATATTTAATAATTAAAATATACTCCATGCAAGCTCAGAGGCAATTCTTTCAGTTACTGATGAAGCTTTTTAGTCCCTTGTTTCTTTTCAATTCCAGTACTCCACATGCCATCCCTATAGGTCAGTAGGTATCACTGTGAAAGAATGACTTTTGCATATTTCCTAAACTGAAAGCCAGTGAATATTTGTCATAACTAAGAATATACAAATAAATGTGTCCCATTTGTTGGGTGAACATTATCATCCAAATCATGGTTTCAATTGAGTCATTGCTAAAAATCTGTATGCTGTAGTTACCATTAGTCACACATTTTTCCAAGACTTTCTTTCGATACTGCCATGATTTGGGGGATTATGTTCTCAAGTGTTTGGCGACAAATCAAAGGCATTGCTATTCTCCTTCATAAGGAGGTAATCAGGATCAGGATGGTAATAATGGAGGTGCACAGCTCACTCTTCTTCTTCAGGTGCTGAATCTCTGAGTGCTATTTGTCTGTGTGTGCACATCTTTGGGAATTCTACGTAACAGGCTTGATCACTTCACTAAGTAAGTTGCCAGGCCCTGGATGGTTTTGATTTGGGTTGATGATACATGAGAAATTCCTCATAAAAGGGGTTCCCATCAGGATTCAACTTTTCAGGTGCCTGTTTAAAGATTATTTAAATCAATGGGAAATGCTGCTTCTCACATTAAAGTCAGACAAGTCTGAATTGAAATCTCCAGTTCAGCCATCTACCAACTTTGGGGAAAGTTGCTTTAGCTCTTTGAGTTAAAGTTTCTTCTTCCTCATAGAACTAAGGATTACATCAAATTTATAGACATGGCATGGCATGGCAGAAGAAGCAAGTAGTATGAGAATAATTTGGCACTATTTTCTAGCCTACCTTTCCGGAGGAGATCTATAGGCGTAGCCATATAGATCTCATGTAAAGTTTTTTAGCTAGTCCTCTCTTGCTAGGGAGCTTGGATTTATTTTATCTTATTTATTTTTTTCACTGAAGCTTGA